AGATTATATATTAGGCAACAAAATAAGGCTTATAAGTTTGAGAGGATGAAAATCATATCAACCATTTTTTCCAAGCACAATGATATGAAACTAAAAATTAATTACATGAAGAAAACTGGAAAATTCACAAATATGTAGAGATTAAGCAACATGCTACTGAACAACAAATGGGTCAAAGAGAAATCAAAAGAAATTAAAAAATATTTGGAGACAAACAAAAATAGAAATGTAGCATACCAAAATTTGTGGGATGCAGCAAAAAATTTCTAACAGGGAGGCTCATAGCGACAAATGCCTACCTTAAGAAACAAGAAAAGTCTTAAATAAACAACCCAATATTGCAGTTCAAGGAACTAGAAAAAAGAACAAAGTCCAAAGTTAGTAGAAGAAAGGAAACAATAAGGATTAGAGCAAAAGTAAATGAAATGGGACTAAAAGGACAATAGAAAAAAAAATCAATAAAATTAAGAGCTGATTCTTTGAAAAGATAAACAAAATTGAAAAGCCTTTAGCTAGACTCACCAAGAAAGAGGACTCAAATAAATTAAATCAGAAATGAAAGAGGATATGTTGCACTGATACCACAGGAATACAAAAAAATCATAAGAGACTACTATGAACAATAATATGCCAACAAATTGCACTACCTAGAAGAAATGGATAAATTCCTAGAAACACACAACCTAAACAAGACTGAATCATGATTCAGCGGGGAGCCTGCTTCTCCTTCTCCCTCTGCTGCTCCCCCTGCTTGTGCTCTCTCGCTCTCTCTGTCAAATAAATAAATAAAATCTTTATAAAAAAAAGACTGAATCATGATGAAATAAAAAATCTGAACAGACTGATTACTAGTAAGAAAATTAAATCAGTATTCAAAAACCCTCTAAGAACCAAAAGTCCAGGACCAGATGACTTCACTGGTGAATTCTACCAAACATTTGAAGAATTAATAGCAATCATTCTCAAACTCTTCCAAAAAAACAGAAGAGGAGAGAACTCTTCCAAACTCATTTATGAGGCCAGTATTATCCTGATACCAAACCAGACAAGGATGCTACAAATTATATGCCAATATCCCTGCTGGACATAGATGCAAAAATCCTCAACAAAATACTAGCAAACTGAATTCAACAACAGATTAAAAGGATCATACATGATCATACCATGATCAAGTGGGATCTATTCTAGGGACACAAGGATCGTTCAACATCCACAAATCGATGTATTTATACCACCTTAACAAAATGAAAGATAAAAATCATATGATCATTTCAATAGATGCAGGAAAGCATTTGACACATTCAACATCCATTTATAATAAAACTTTCAACAAAGTGTCTATAGAGGGAATGTAATAAAGGCCATATATGATGAGTGCACAGATAACATCATACTCAGCAGTAAAAGCTGAGAGCTTTCCCTCTAAAATAAGGAACGGGACAAGGATGCCCACGCTTACCAATTTCATTCAACATAGTAATGGAAGTCCTAGCCAGAGCAATTCAGCAAGAAAAAGAAATAACAGGCATCCAAATTGGAAAAAAGTGTCACTATTTGCAGATGACATATTTTATATAGAAAACCCTAGAGACTCCACCAAAAAAATGTTAGAACTAAAAAAACAAACAAAACAACTGCCCAAAAAACTGTTAGAACTAATAAACTCATTCAGTAAAGTCATAGGATATGGAATTGATACACAAAAATCTTCTGCTTTTATATATACCAGATAACCACAATGAGATATCACCGCACACCTGGTAGAATGACTATTACCAAAAAGAAAAGAAATAACGAGTATTGGTGAGGCTGTGGAGAAAGGGACACCCCTGTTGGTGGGAATGTAAATTGGGGCAGCCACTGTGGAAAACAGTATGGATGCTCCTCAAAAAATTAAAAATAGGAGCACCCGAAAGGTGCAGTTGGTTAAGTGTCCAACTCTTGGTTTCAGCTCAGGTTGTGATCTCAGCAATGAGATCAAACCCTGTGGCAGGCTCCACACTCAGCATGGAGTCTGCCTGAGTTTCTTTCTCCCTCTCCCTCCCTCTCTCTCTTCCACTGCTCTCTCTCTCTCTCTCAAATAAATAAAATCTTCTAAAATAATAAAAATAAAACTACCCTGTAGGGGCACCTGGGTCGCTCAGTCAGTTAAGCATCTGACTCTTGGTTTCAGCTCAGGTCATGATCTCAGGGTCATGAGATCGAGCCCTGCATCAGGCTCTGTGCTCAGTGGAGAGTCTGCTTGAGATTCTCTCTCCCTCTCCCTTTGCCCCTCCCCTACTCACACTCCCTCTCTCTAAAATAATAAACAAACAAACAAACAAACAAATAAATAAGTAAAAATAGAACTACCCTATAATCCAGCAATTCCACTTCTTGGTGTTTATTCAAAGAAAATGAAAACGCGATTTGCAACAACACAGATGAACCTTAAGGTCCATGCTAAGTGTAGTAAATCAGACAGAGAATGACAAACACAGTATGATCTCTTTTATATATGGAGTCTTAAAAAAACAAGAACAGGGGGTGCCTGGGTGGCTCAGTCTCTTAAGTGTCCAAACCTTGGTTTTGGCTCAGGTCATGATCTCAAGGTTGTGGGATCAAGCCCCACATTGGCTCTGTGTTCGGTGAGGAATCTGCTTCAGATTCTCTCTCCCTCTTCCTCTCACCCGCCCTCTCTCTCTCAAATAAATTAAAAAAATCTAAAACAAACAAACAAACAAAAAACTAACAAAAAACACCCAAAACCACCACCAACAACAACAAAAACAAGTTCATAGATACAGAGACCAGATTGGTGGTTATCATAGGTAAGGGTTGGGGTAGGGGTGGGAGATATGTGTGTAAAGGGTCAAAAGGCAAAAATAAAAACATAAAACATTCAACAACCCCTAGGCATCTAAAGAAAGAGATCATCTCAGAATGGGGTAAGCAGCAGGAATAGATTCACAGATCCGTGCAATGTTGGAGCTGGTGGGTACATGTTGTAAGCGTTCTAAATCTCACATTTTATTTTTATTAAAAAAAATTTTTTTTTATTAGGTAAACTCTATCCCCAATGTAGGGCTTGAACTCACAAACCTGAGATCAAGAATCTCATGATCCACTGACTCGGCCAGTCAGGCACCCCTAAATCTCACATTTTAAGTAGTGACTAGGCCCACGGGGGAAAGGGCATGCCCCAAGTTAACGAAGATATTTATGGGTGCCCCTGGGGAATGCTGAGTACTTAAGAATAGGTGGATCTCTAATACCAACTTACTTACTTTGTTACAAAATAACCAGTAAATTCGGTAGGACACACACACAAAAATAAAAACCAACATCAGCATTGTTAGTTTGCCATAATGTAGACCAAACAGTCTCTTGTTTTGGTAGAGCTCTGAATCAAGCTGAATAGGAAAACATTTCAAACACTCATGATTTTCTATGGTAGTAAACAAGTCAGAGATCGCAGTGACAGTGAGCGTTGGACCATATCTCATCACCCATATCTAAGGACAGGAGTGGGTGCAATCAAACAATTAGGGTATACAAATTATTTCTTGACTACATTTTTATTTCTTAGCCTTATTAAAAGAAAGATATCTTAACAAATCCTATTTCTGAGATGATTATATTTCTTCCATTTTGCTTTTTTAGAAGGATATTGTCATGTTGCAGCCCTTCTTTTTAGAGGTATCTCTTAATTAGCAATAGAATTCAGGACCTGATATTCTGAGATTTAGGCGATTGTGTCCAGGAAAAAGATGCCAGTAATAACATAATTAATTGGCTGCAAAAAAAAACCAAAAAAAAAAAACCATGATCTTCCAAATTGTCTTAGAAATCTGTATTCTGATGGTGCAAATAAACCCAGACATAATGAAGTGGTCTTAGTGAATTGGAAGCCCTGCTTTCTCACTCTGTATTTATTCCATTTTTACAACAGCTTTTGGTTTATTTTAATACATTATTATAGAAGAAAGGGTCCATTAAACAGCTACAGAAAAGTGAGAAATATGTTCCTTTTAAAATTTTTTAAATGAAGCATTAAAAAGTAGAATACTTCTAAAATGATATTCAAATGATTTTTAATTACTACAAATGCATTGAGATGTTAATACACTTTATATAAAAGGGAGAGATACTCTTCCATCAGTCCTTTTCTGCCACAAATTCCAACCCTAAGAAAATTATTTCTTTTGATCCACTCTGATAGCCTGTAATAAAAGAACAATAAAACATATGGCTCAATTACCACTGCTTCTCATCAGGCATGAATTAATGAATATCCAATTATTATTAATTGTTTTTTCTGGCTTCCCCTCCATAGGACAACAATTATACATTGCTGTATTTTTATAAGCGCTTTGTACTTAACGCTTTGCAGACCAGTCTCTAAAAGAAACAGATTCTTGAAATCATTACACTGAAGAATAATTCTTTAAATTTATCAACGTTTGGAAAATACATGATGATCATTTAATCTCCCTAGTTGATGTCAGTTTTTCACAACTACCTTAAGCTTCCCTAAAATTCCTCCCTCTCTTCAATATTCTGTATGTCTTCCTTTGAGAAAGCAGTTGCTATGTGCATATAAAATAGTTTTTCAATTTCTCACAATAATACTAGTTCCTCATATATGATTATTGAATTTTCAATTCATCAAGAAAAAGCTCTTTAAAAATAAAAGCTATATGGTGCCTGGGTGGCTCAGTCAGTTAAACAACCCACTCTTGATTTTGGCTTGGGTCATGATCTCAGAGTCTTGAGATGGAGCTCTGTGTCGGGATCTGCACCGGCTGTGGAACCTGCTTGGGATTTTCTCTCCCCCCTGCCTCTCCCCCACTACTCTTCGCTCTCAAAAAAATAATAATAGTAAAATAAAAGCTATAGCTCAAGTAGTTAAAGAATTACATTAACCAGCATGGCATAGAATATACAAAATTATGATCTCTGTAATTGACAACACCGATATCAGCGAATGATATTTATAGACACTCCACAAAAAGGTTCTGTGTAACTGGTAGTTCATTTTATTTTTATTTATAAGCTGTCGGCAGCTGTAAAGTGCTATGTAATATGAATAGATGCGACAAGCAAAAGAACATGTCTTTGTAATCCACAACCATTATTTCTCAGAGATTATTCATATACTTGGATTTTGAAATGCATGCAAAGAAAATCTAACAATTTATAATATGTAAACTATACACATCATGTATAATTTTACCCATTACCCATAAATCCATGTTTCTGTTTTTAAAACATTCTATAAAAATTATATCTGTGGCAAACTGAAGGATAACATTAAATTGTTTAGATGTACTATTTAGTTCAATATGCTTAACAAACACATATTCAAATATGCTTTTAAAGAGAAAACAACACTTGCTTTAGAATCAGAAAATGTGGGGAGCAGAAAGGGACCAATCATTTTGTATGGAAGGGTCAAGTGATTCTCTGAGGTTCATACAACTTTATATGAAACATCTTTCTGCCAAACTTCATAAAAAAATTTCTATCAACATTTCTTTTGAACATAAAAGAAATATATCTTGCCTTTTTGACAGTTTGTCAGGATGTCAATAATGTCTGTAAATACAAATCTTTAGGGAAACAAAGATGGGAAAAAAAGAAACTTGTCTATAATGGCAACCACGATGCGCAGCCCACTTACGGAGCAGAGATGGACCTAGTTAGGGTTGACACAGCTCACTGCCATCAGAAGCATCATTCCTTTGACATTGGTAACTGGAACCACTTGAATTTTTCATGGCTAAATCTAACCAGATACCAGATGGCTTCCTTTATGTATATGACCTTATTGAAGGCAATTAGATTATTTATGCAATAGCAGAATTGTTAGTTGTATACAAGAGTCAATCTTCAATGTAAAAGCTTTTCTAGATGACATATTCTTAAAATAAAATTTAACTTCCTAATGAATGCTTTTCTCTTGATTTCCATGTGCCAGAATTATTGAATCCACTTAGCTGAAAATTTTAAAGAAAATAACAGTTAGAAATACAACTTCAGTACAAACATAAGCCTATAATTAAAAAATTTTAAATAACTATTCATCAACGGGGTAGTGGTGGATTAAGCATTTTATTTTTTCTTTCTACTGCATTCATCACTATGGCTTTTGGTCAGACACCATAAACACAAAGTTACCAATGCCTGGTACTTGTATTTATGAGATGCCTGAGAGTCGAGTCTTGACAACCAATATGTACTATAAAATAGGCAATGCATGTGGAGTGCACCTAGACAGGAAGACACAAAGAATTCTGAGTCTTTTGGTAATCATATCTCCTAAGCGGTTTCATGGATTTCTAGAAAACTGAAAGTTTGAGAGTGCCACCAAGCACACCAAGGCCTTTGATATAATACTGGATCATAATAAGGCTGCTAAATTACGAAGAAAATGGAATATGGGAACTGGCTGGGGAAAGCAGAAAATAGAAAGCCAAGTATGAATATAATTAGGTTTGTTCTTGTAATTGATACTGCAGCCTGATGGAATGTGGGTTTCTGAGTATTTCTCAGAGCATTTTCCAGATGCAGCCTCCCAGTACCTCATTAATGTCACACATTTATTGTTAAATTCCATATTTTGGATCCCATGTAAGAACTGGCCAGTAAGACATCAGGGAACTTGCCCTCATGTAGTTCTGTTGACCCGCTATCCAATATCATCTCGGTTATTCTACCTATGTATCATTAAATTAAAAATAAAATCCTGATACTGGCTATTAAAAACTAATCAAGTATCATAGGATTTTATTTTGCTAACTTAGTGTACTTTATGCATAACTTTCAGATCAACTTTTAAAGTTTTTACACTGCTTAAAGAAAATGAGTTAAAAATGCAAGTCCTTAGTGTTTTCTTCTCATATCATTTATGCCAATTAAGAGCTCATAAAAAATACTTAGATGCTATACTTAATATAGAATTATATAGAACTAGCTCTAAACTTTCCATTTAAAGATAACATTGAAAAGCATTTAGCATAGTAACCAAATTAGATACAAAAGTATACTTCAGCGCAAATATAAAAGGTCATTCACAGAAATGGACTTCAAACAATTATTTGAGCAAAGAAGATCTTTATTTTTGTTTGGAAAAAATAAAAAAAACTTTCCAAAATAAGTGACCTCTTTACTTAGTTGTATTATGCCTGGCCTGATATCAGGAGACAATCATATATATTAACTGATTTTATACCTTAAAATACTATGATTGTGTAACTACCTTCAGCTGAATTCTTAACTAAATGTAATTAATAAAATATTTTTAACTTTATTGAAATCCTTCATTTCAACAATATTAAGTGCTCATTAATATTAGTAAAAGTGATCATTTCTTAAAGAGCTTAACACTTACCCATTACTTTAGAGTAGCAAGGTTCACAGTGTATTGTCTGCCTGTAAATCCAAATACTGTCACCTGCTTGTAGGTTTTCCAAAGGCCGTTTGCATATTTCACACTAAAGGAAAAAACAATATATGAAGTTTGCACATATTATATGTGAAGTCTAGATTCTTAGTGTAATAGAAAAGCCCTTTTGATTCATTCACTACCATGCTACATAGCAACACTCAGGTGAAAGAGAACCCACCGGGAAAGTGAGAATGTACTTGTCCAGGACCCTAATGTTGAACTTTTCAAATAAATTCTCACAACATCTCTCTACTCTGAAAATGTGCATTTCAGGGCATATATAGCACTGAAGCTTCTACTTAACTCACAATAGAGTAGATATAAATTTTCAAAAATTGGTTATGCCAAGGATAAGATCACTACTCAATATCGCAAACAAAAACACAAAGCCTATTTGTTTGCTTACTAAGGGGGAGTTATGTTGTCCAATTACAGCCTGACTGGACAAAACAGACCTCTGCTATTACATAGGCTTTAGCGAACAGTTTGTTTTGTGTTGTGTTGGTTATGGAGGCAGAAAAGGGTTGACCTATGTTCTTTGGAAACAAGTTCACTGCTGAATGGCTGACTTTCAAGCATAAGGCTGTCACTGATTGGATGGCTTTCAGAGGTGAGTTCATTGAAGCAAATTGTCATTGATCAATTCAATACGTTTAAACAAGTCCAGGTGGTTCTCTATTATCATGGCTATAAGAGTAATACATCTTTTCTGAGGAGTGTGGGGACATTTTTATTCTCAGTAGTATTTTATAATTAAATCGAAAATGGAAATAAATCATCCAAAATATAATAAATGGAAATTATTGTTATTTACCAAAAGAAATAATTGGGAGAATTATCTTATTTTAAAAAGTTTTCTGCATAATAACTTTAAATAAAGAGCTATAGGCTAACTTTTGTTTCATTGAGTAAATTTTCATAACTAAAAGGAAATTTCATCTTCTTATAATTAATTGTACAATTTTCACAACTTTTTTGTGAATAATTTCACAAAAATTTTTCACAAAAAATAATTTCACAATTATTTTAAATGGAATTCTATAAAATGTGGCCTAAAATTGGACTTTTTTTCTCAAAACGAGGCATCCTATATCTGATTGCTATGTGTCACTGTCTGAAGCTAATTGAAGGAGAAGCAATCAGTTGTCAAAGTATTGCACATATTTGACTGCATTAGGTAATTATATCTATACCACAGAATGTCAGCACAGAAAGGATCCTTGGATTTAAGCAAATGATTCTTAAATTGGTTGCCCTTAGAGCTATCTAAGCAGCTTTTAAAAATACCAATGCCCAGGAATCATCTTTGAGATTTTTTTATTTAATCGGGGCCGGTCCCAAGCATTCTATTTTTCTCCTAATTGCTCCCAGATGATTATAATGTACAGCCTGAGTTGAGAACCACTAGTCTAGTCAGCTACCTATTTTACAGAGAAGGAAACTGAAGCCAAGCTAATTAGGTGCTGGTCCAAAATGAGCCACAGTTAGTGGAAGTTAGAACTCATACTCAGGCCTTCAGATTCCCAATTCAGTGCTCAACCAGTTACACCAACAACTATCATGTTAACCTGTTCAATATTACTGTGAGAAGTAAGAGAAATGGCGTATGACCACAAACTGAAGCATTCTGCTACATAAGCTTTATTTTTATTATGCTACAGCCACAGTTAGTTATAACTAATCATGTTCTCAAAAGCAGACTGACTTTCAACTATTGTTAAGCCTATCAGTCCTGATTTCATGCCTCATGTAAAAAGCTCCTAGGTTTCTTCTCAACAATTTCTTTTTCTTTTTGGATTTCATGATTTTTTTATGCAATGCATGATTCATTAAAGTGTTACAAAAACTTTTATAAAGAGAACAATATTTATATTTTTACAGATTTAAATCTCTAGGGTAAGAGTAATAAATGTGTCAGTAATCAACCCTAAGCCCAAAGCCAAGATAGTAATTATAAACCTTTGAGGTTCAGGCTGCAGAACTCTGAGAAATATTTAAGTAGTATATTATTAATGTGGATTAGATTATTTTTGAAGGCTTTTAACTTCATCTCATGTATTTCATCAAATAATTATTTTTATTCTAGTCATCATTATGCAGGTCTATATTTCATTAACTGCAATAAACATATCCTTACCTTGAAGCAAGTGGAATGGCAGCAAATTTGTAATTCATCTAAAATCATTTTTGCTTCTGTGCCCAAAGGTTTCCGGCAATAAGTACACATATCTCTTTCAATGACAGACCTATAGGGATGTAAAGAATTACAAATAAATTTGTCATCATGCAAGTGATGGATGTATTCCCCATAAAGTCATGTGGAAATGATATGTTAATTTTGTTGATACTTTAGGAAATTGTATGAAAATCAAGGAAAGTTTGGGACTTACTTATTCTATTAATAGAATTGATTCTTCTAGTTACCTCAAAATAATATCAAAGAATTAACATGAAGGAAAGTCTCAAATTATTAATTCATTAGCAATCAAGGGTGCATCTGGGCAGGGCAAAGATGTTCACAGTTTCCTAATTGAACTAGGTCATGAGTACCCCCTGAAGCTAGAAGAGGGTTTTGAATTATTAATTTGCATATATCATAGAAAAATTATACTGTAGATTAATATAAAATTTTAGCTCTCAAAACATTCAATAGGACAAAAATACAATTCCACTCAAAAGTGTTTTGGTAAATTCACAAATGATGGGTCCATGGTACCCCAGACTCTAGAGTCTAGAGTCCCCAAAATGCTCCCCTGTAACTGTGTATAATCTCTTGGTGTCTTTTAAGACTCAGAATTACAGGGCTAGCTTTCATGACAAAACTTATGTTCTCCAACAAGATATAACCCGTCCACAAATTTGATGAGGAAAAGAGAGTTTTGTTTTTTATTTTGGAAAAATAATATTCAATAACAAATGAACCACAGATATGATCAGCAAGTCCAAAAAGTCACACCATCACCTCATGAACGGCCAACAGCTCTGTGATTCTTTTCTTTTGGGAAGGTATTAGAACTGTCTAAAGTAGCACCCTGCAAAGTTTATTAGTTTCAGGGTGTGAGCAGCAGGCCTGAAATTTCCACAGTAGGGTACACAATGGGGTGGTAAAAGAAAAATACCCAATACTGGGGCACCTGGGTGGCTCAGGTGGTTAAACATCCAACTCTTGGTGTTGGCTCATGCCATGATCTCAGGGTCGTGAGATTGAGCCCCACATCCGGCTCCATTCTCAGCGTGGAGTCTGCCTGACTCCCTCTGTCCCTCCCCTTCACACCTCCCCCTCTCGTGTGTGCTCTCTCTAAAATAAATAAATATTTTTTAAAAAATAGCCAATACTTATATAGTGCTAATATGCTTTATACAGGCAGTGTGCTTTCCATGCACGTGGTTCATATAAACTCATTTATTTTTCACAACATGTCTGAAAAGCAGGTACTACTATTTTTACATCATTTTACAGAAGAAGAAACTGAGGCTCAGAAGGGTAAGAAATTTGCTCAGGTCATGCAGACAATTGAGTGGCAGTGGCAGGATTTGAGTAAGGCAGTGTGGACCCAGAGTCCCTGGGCTACCCTAGGCCTGCCCATGAAAACTATCGGGCTCCCTGGGGGAAGGTAAACTAGTCGTGCCTGGGAGCCTTGATCCTAGGATCAAGCCCAGGACTAGAAGCAGAGAGAAGAGAAAACGGATGGAAGGAGGAGGTGAGATGAGATTCAAGCAGATGAAACCTGTCTGGTTTTATACTTTCAGTCATTCTAGCACCCTCGTCCAAGTCCTTATATATATATCAATAAATATTTTCCTCTGTCAATTAACTCTAAAGGTACTTCCTTACATATTCCTGGCAAATACTTTCCTATGGATAATTCATATATATACATGCATGTGTGCACACACACTTAAATTTCCCATGTAAGACTGTAAGCGCTTCAAGAGTAGAAAACAGGCACTCTCTATCCCACTTCCATTGTAGAGGCACTGAGGGAAGAGCTGGGAATTACATAAAGGGAGATGGTCTCCTTCCTTCCATGAGGGCAGCCAAGTGTTTGATTTGATAATCACAGCATATTACGGATACATGGAGAGAATTAGGAGAGCGTGGCCAACGAAACAACTCTTCCCCGGCGTGGAGTCAGGGAGGCCTTGCTGGAAAAAGTGCCACATGAGTTAAAGCTTGAAGACAGAGGGGCTTTCAAGGTGAGCTCCGTGAGGTGCAGAGGGGCAGGAGAGAGGAATTCCACGCAGAGTGAACAGGATGTACCCAAGAGAGTATCTGGAGTGATTAAACACCAGTCAATATTCAGCAGGAACAGATTTTAAAGCCCATAAATAATTGTGCAAAGGAATTAGTCTTTATCCTGTTAAGTGGGAAGCCACTTTAAATGGGATTGAAATGCTTAGATAAGAACTCTGGGAATTTAGTTAATTTCACACAATAATCAAAAAAAGTTGCTTGACTGGTCTTACAGAGAATTGACTTTTGCTCTGATGACTAAGAAAAATTTTAAGGACCACTTGAGTAACAGAACTGAAATTCTTCATATTAAGAGCAATACTTCTGTGAAGAATGTTTTCCTTCCTTAAGTTAACAGTAACAACGAGAGCCCAGGGACAGCTCTGATGTTGGTGTTGTCCTTATTAAGGTCATACTGTTAATCAAAGACCTTTTGCAAAGCATTATGAAAAAAAGCTCTGTTTTTTATTTGTTAGTTTGGTTTTAGTTATCTAGGCAGTATTTGTAGTTTTAATGCTTGCATAGATGACTTTATCCCTTAAGGAAGTGTGACTTAAAGGCAAGACACTCAGAAGATCGCTGGTACTACAAGATCTTATAAAAGTGACAGAAAGAGGATATAATTTTGATGCCTGGCCCATCCGTGTTTTTCTTAGCCAACAGAGCATTGGTTTATTTTTTCTGAAAACATTTACTGAGTACCTGTTAGTTGCCCAACACTGCATTACAAGCTGAGGCTGTGCATAAAAATAAGATAGGCCCTCACCCTCAATAAGTCATATGTCCCGCCTCTGCTATAAAGAAACACCATCCATAAAACGTTGTACATTTGCATTACAGCTTGTTTCCGGTGGTTGGGTTGAAATGTTAATTATTTTCATTTTGTCCACTGGAAATCTGCAGGTTATATTCTCACGAGCATCACCTATGTGCCTCACTGAACATTAAATGGTAAAAAAGGATCACCAACAGCAAAAGCCTGGTGTCCGTTTCCCAGAACTAACTTGATATGCATTATAACCCCTGTCTTGAGAAGTGAGTGTGGGCCCAGAGCGCGTCAGAGCAGCATATCCACGCAGCTGTTTGTAAGGTGAGCTGGCTCTGGAAAACCACAAGGACGGAGGGTTGAGGGCACAGTCAAGTGATGCAATGGAGCCTAGATGCTAAAACTGTGACATTAACAGGGACTCCTGGGAATCAGCAACAGCAGAGGGGCTGGTCTGGGAGGTAGCTGGAAAGCATGCAAAACTCTACTGGAATCAAGTACATCAAGTACATCAAAATCAGAGAGCAGCAACACACAGGAAGCCAAAGAATTAATTCCTGGATGCAGAGGTTGTTGTACGTTGTTCCATTCGTACACATATATGACAATCACCATCAGGACGCCGTCTCTAAGTACAATGGACAACAAGAATCACATATTTCAATGTTACCTATATAATAAAAATATATCAGATGTGGATATAAAATATATATTATATGTGAAAGTATATATATGCATACACACATACATACATATACACTAAAATACATAAAATATATATTATAATGAAAGTATATATACACATATGTATATATAAGTGTACATGTAAGTATGTGAGTATATATACTTTTAGGTGTGGAAATAGAGACATACTCACCTATCTGAAGTCGAATAAACAGTTTGTATGTATTTTCCAGAGATATTCTGATATCCATCCTTCAGTGATTTACTAGAAACAAACACATATGGACGTGTGAGAATTTGACTATTTCCCTAGTCTTGTTGTACACACCCATATGCAGGTGACAAAGCACACATACCTCCTCATGCAGCCTTATTATTCTTCTCTGTGATGTTGCAAACATCATGGACTAACATCTTTTTTTTTTTTTGAATATAGAGAAGAGCTAATACACAAGCCACCTCCAAGGTGACATAAGTTGACATATCTACTGAAGTAAATAGAGAATAGGGCAAGGAGCACAGGAACAAGTATGAACAGGTAAAGCAGTTACCATTTCTCATGAAATTTATACTTCCCGTCCCTCATTCATTTACTAAAAGAAAGCCACATGTAATCTAACAGAGAAAAGGAAATACGCAAAGCATGAGCCAGTGTAAGCACATACAAAAATCACCATTCAGGTAGAGAAGCAGATTCTTGAACTACAGAAAGCTGTAGAAATGTTTATTTTTATTTGAAAACATCCAAGAACAGTCCAGCATGAAAGCAAAAAAAAAAAAAAGGTAATTTTAGGTCCTCTTTTTTCTATTTCTCAGACTGCTCCAGTTTGTAAATGTCAGTCTTTCCCGGAGACAAACGAAATCTGCAATGCACTAACCAGCTAGCAGCTCATAATTGCTTCCCAAGACTTATGCTACCTGGGAATATATTAAGGCTGGAAGCAATACATTCCTATTATTTCATACAGTGAGTGGTAATTCCACAACCTTCACCTGGGATTTTTAAATAGGAAATCTCTCTCTCCCTCCAAACTGCCCACAGGCAGACTGTTGTCAGACTCTATTTGGAATACGTAACGCATAATGCTAAGTAAGAGTGTGTACACATTTGTGCAGGATACATATATTATTACTCCCATTTTATTGATGAGGAAACTGAGATGTGAAGAGACTTAAGTTGCTTTTGCCAAGACCACATGGTTAGCAAATGACACAGATTCAATCCCAGATCTGACACCAGGATCTCTATGCTATACTGCAACATCAGCATACAGTTTAGGGAGAATTAGATTCAGCAGAAAAATTGAACTTGAAGCTGCATTTTACAAGGAAAATGATGTGTGGTTTTGAGAAACCTTTTTTGGAAAATTGTCCACCTTCTGACATACAATGATGTTCCTAGAGTCCTTTCAGGGACCCTCTCCAGAGATGCTCTCCCTTCTTTGAAATGGGCTCTGATTAACACATATGTCACAAAGATCACATTTGTATTCCCCATCAGTATATTACTCCACAGTTAGGCTAATTCTTGTTTTTGTACTCCCTGGAATGGAATGGGTTGTGAATTAATGACCTTGTTTGACATTTTCCTCAACACCCATCACTCCAAGCAGCAGATTTTTTGGGGATATCAATTCTCTGTAATTTGGGCCAGAGCGTATCTACTAAAGGTAATACCCCTTATTTCAGAATAAAGGCAAATGATAATAGATAGAAACAGAGTAGTATATAGAACTATTTAAGTGGAACTTGAAGTCAGCATAGGAATATCTGAGTAATTTTGTGTAATTTTGTATTGTGTAATTTTATAAAGCTTGTTATAAACATTCAGTTACATACAATTATGTGAGAACTGACAAATGGTTATCCTATTATGTATATACTTGTTATATTCAAGTATTCGGTTCATCCAATGACTACTTATGATTATTTGCCAACTACTTGATATTGGAAACATTATAAAGAATTATATACTTAGAACTTAACATACTCCTAAGTGGTCTTCTATTTGAAAAAATCCAAGCTTACTCCAAAATAATAGCATCTCTTCTTACACACAGATTATTTCAAAATTAGAATAAATGTAGCAAAATATTTTAAATAAATTTCCAGTACCTGTTCTCCACGTATGTCCTTGTATACACAAAGGTATCCTTCGGTCCTGCATGCCTGGTTTCAGCATTGAAGCTGAAATACAAACCATTTACTTAATGTTTAAAATTTAGTTATAAGGGTAATGAAAACAATAAGGCTATTATCCAATTCAATGCAAACAAATAGTGCTTACATATTCCTTTTAAATTATAACTTTTGAAATGTAATTGTTAAAGGGGTATTAAACCACTTCTGCAAAATGTCTTCATATCTCCCAGTATGTTCTTAGCTTCCACTGTCTTGGCCTACTTCCAGAATGCTGCTATGAAAATTGGTCACTCAGAATATCTGCTGTAGAGCATGAAGATTATTTGGAATATTTGTGTAATACATTTTACTGTTTGTTTCCCTGGTGTCTCATTCATATTTCCAAACCATAACTTTCCCCATAAATCTCAAAAAGTTGACCTTAATGAACTAACATGATAACATGTAATTTAATGAAACCTTTAAATCTATCTAAAGAATATCAACACCAATGTCACAAACAGGCTCTTAAAAAAAAAAAGTAAAATTTTCAGGGAAAAATCACATTTACACTTTCCTATGCAGGTATCAAAACTTCCCAATGACTGAGTTGTTAACTTAATGTCTTTGTGTGCAGTTTACATATAGTCACGGATAAAATTAGAAATTTATGCATTTCAAAGGAGGGGTCAGATTTTATATAAGATGATTTTCAAAAACAGAAGGAGAATAGTTCTGTCATTTGTTTTATAATTGGCTGCAGTACCTGAGATTTCTCCTGGCTTCATACATATGGGCAGGAGTTCTAGTGAGCTGGTTGTTTAAAGCATCTGTGGATCCATCGACTTGGCCATCTAGCCTGGGAAAGCAAACACAAATATTTGGCATTTCTAAGGCCACTTAGAAGTTTTTTGTTTTATTAAAATTCTGTTCAATTAACATTCTTTACATACATGAACCTCTTTATGTTTGTCTGGTTTCTGTGCAGATACACAAATAGAATACATACACTGTTTCACTCTCCACAGCGACCACTCTCTTACCTTTAAGAATAATCTACAGGCATGTGTCATATTATCTACAGCAGTGCCACTGTAGAAAGCTTCTCATGTATAATATATAATAATATATAATGTATAATATATCTTGAGAGTTTATCAATTTGATGAAAATTATCCAGGGGTTGCTTTTGGAAATTACAGTTTCCATCTTATTTTTAATGGAAAGGAATACTTTGAAGATTACAGATTCCTGACCTAGATTTCTGCTAACTCAAAAAAATATCACTACGCTTAACAAAGTGTAGGCATATTTTCTTTTTCCTCTGGAACAAAGGAAAATTTTAATGCAGGAATTGTAAAAATTTTAGCCACATTTCTCCCTCCAGATTACTAAACTCTGATATAGAAGAGATGTGAAAACCAAGAGGACAGTTGAGATCTTAATCAAGACTTATCATTTTTAAACACGCTGTTCCTTCCATTCCCTGATAGCTCTTAAAGAAGAGGAAAACATTTGTTTACATATTATCTCTGGCATACAGAAAATTATCTTCTAGTTTTAAGACAGATGTTTCACAAAACATACAGCTACATTAAAATGATACTAAGTAATGAGAAAGTAGAATTAACATCAGATTCTCTAACGTGATTATTAGAATATGTCATTCCAGGAATTATAAACCTAGCTAGCAGTTATTTGGAAATATTCAAATCATATCATATACAATACAAAAACCCAATTTTAACAGATAAACAGCTTCAAAGAACAAAGGTTGTCAGTGAGTCTGAAATGTGCTTGCACCAGCCTCAGCAGTATAAAATCAAGTTATCACCAGTTAGCAAAATCGGCAAATAGAAAAGGGAAATAATTTGCAAACAGTACTGTTATGGACTCAATTGTCTCCCCCCAAAATTCATATGTTGAAACCCTAACCCTCAATGTGATTTGCAGACAGAGCCTATAAGAAGGTGAAAAAGGTTAAGTGAGGTCATGGGTGGGGCCATAGGACTTGTGTCCTTTTAAGAAGAGGAAGTGACACGAGAGATCTGCATGTGTTCGTGCAAATACAAAAGAGAGGCCATGCAAGGCCACAGTGAGAACATGGCCATCTGCAAGCCAAGGAGAAAGGCCCCAGGAGAAGCTAAACCTGCCAACACCTTGATCTTGGACTGGCAGCCTCCAGAGTTGTGAGAAAATAAATTTCTGTTGTTTAAGCCACTTGGTCTGTGGTATTTTGCTATGGCAGCCCAGATGGAGTGATAATACGAGTAGCATTTCCTCGTTGTGTTTATAATGAGATTAATGACTATGCCTTCATGAAGATTTAACTTTTATAATTGTGAATAAAAACCAAATATTAGTAAACAAATTTGAAATGTGGAACAATAAACTCTTTGATGGATTTTACTCCACCAGTAGGTTTGGAAGATGACAGATTAAAAAAATACAGATCTTTTAGGGTGCCTGGGTGGCTCAGTTGATTAAGCGACGGCTTTTGGCTCAGGTCATGATCCTGGCGTTCCTGGATCAAGTCCCGCATCGGGCTCCCTGCTCAGCAGGGAGTCTGCTTTACCCTCTGACCCTCCCCTCTTTCATGTGCTCTCTCTCATTCTCTCTCTCTCTCAAATAAATAAATAAAATCTTTTAAAAAAATAAATTGCTAAAAAATATATAGAGATCTTTTAGACCTTTTATTTTCAAGTAATTTTAAATATATGGAAAAATTGCAAAGACAGTGTGGACAAGCCGTGTCTACCCTTCACCCAGCCTCTCCTAATACTAATACCATATATAACCATGGTACATTTGTCAAAACTAAAGAATCAACGTTGGTACAATACTGTTAACTAAACTACAGACTTCATTTGTATTTCATCAGTTTTTCCACTGATATCCTTTCTCAGTTCCAGAATCAGAATCAGGATATATCTTCCACAAAATCATCATGTCTCTTTAGTTTCCTAGGGTCTGTGATCATTGCCAAGTCTTTCTTTGCTCTTCATGAGATGGTGATAGATGTTACACAGGAAATTCTATCTTGATGCCAATAAGTGGTGATCTATTTTTTATTATTATTTAGAACCATAGAAATAGTTAGAAAATACTTTGGCAGTGAAATCACCTGTAGTGCTTTTTATAATGCTACAGGGTCCCACATCCAGATATTCTGGTTTAATTAGTTTGAATTACAGCTTGGGCACTGGGCTTCTTTTAAGCCTCTCCAGTGAGTCTCACGTGCAATTTAAGGATGAGAACCACCACCTTAGAGGTTGGGCAGTCCAACATCTTACCCAAAAGAGCACTGGTTCTTAAAGTATGATCCCTGGGTCAGCAGGTGGTTGTGATATACAGTAAAGTTTGGGAACTGGTGCAATCAAGGAACTCTGCCCAAGTATTCCTCTCAAATGCCTTAAACAATCCTCATAAAGGAGAACTCATAACTCACAATGTTTGTTGTTTAAGTTTTATGGTTAAGAAGTTATTCTTCATTGAAGCAATTGTTAAATTATAACTTCCAATTAATGGTCATAGTTTTGTTTCTTAATTAAATAACAACTCTACAAAATATAAACTCAAACACTGTATATAGGACCTTACAGAATTCCTAATGGAATTACTCTTGAGAAAATGTTTCCTGCAATAGAAATTCACCTTGAAAATTTACCTATCTGCAACCCTCATACATTGCCAAAGTATAAAATGGTACAGCTGATCTGAAAAACAGTGTTGGTTCCTTAGATGGTTAAACGTAGAGTTACTACACAATCCAGAAATTCTACTCCTAGGTATATACCCAAGAGAAATGAAAACATATCCCAAATAAAAAGTTATAGATACAGCATTGTTCACAACAGTTAAATACAATCCAAAAGTCAAAAACAATTCAAACGCTCATCAATTAATGAATGAACAAAATGCTGTTTAGCCATACAATGGAAAAAATACTATTTGGGAATAAAAAGAAATAAAATACTGATACATGCTATAATATGGATGAATCTTGAAAACATTACACAAAGTGAAAGAAGCCAGTCATAAAGGACCACATATTGTATGATTCCATTTATATGAAATGTTCAGTATAGGCAATTCATAGACAGAAAGTAGATTAGCAGTCGCCTAGGACGAGGGGTTGGGGAGAAAATGTGTGACTGCTAATGGTATGGGGTTTCTTTTTGAGGTGATAAATATGTTCTAAAATGGATTGTGGTGATGGTTGCACAACTGCATGAATATACTGATTAGGAACATATATTTACTTGGATATCCAGTTACTATACAAAGTGAATGCATTCATAAAGTGAATCAAGTTTCAGTTTAGCAGATTGGCCCAGGACTCTTACTTGGATTTCCATCATCTTACTAACTTAGCCTTAGCAGCCTGACATTAAACACCATAAAACAATTTCAACTGATAAATATCTATACCCCTGCAAACTTTATAAATCTCTTTTGCAAAAAGAATAAAATCTTATTAAGAGCCCACTATTTTGTATCATATGTGTTAGGGTTTACTTCTATAAAATGTCAAGTTCTTAAGCTCTTATAAAAATTTCAAATTTTAGGGTGCCTGGGTGGCTCAGTCGGTTAAGCGACTGCCTTCGGCTCAGGTCATGATCCTGGAGTCCCGGGATCGAGTCCCGCATCAGGCTCCCTGCTCAGTGAGGAGCCTGCTTCTCCCTCTAACCCTCCCCCCTCTCATGTACTCTCTCTCTCTCTCTCTCTCATTCTCACTCTCTCAAAATAAATAAATAAATCTTTAAAAAAAAAGGAAAATTTAAAATTTCAAGTTTTAAGTATTTTTTTAAAAAGTACTCTACTGTTGGGGCACTTGGGTGGCTCAGTCATTAAGCATCTGCCTTCTGCTCGGGTTGTGATCCCGGGGTTCTGGGATCGAGCCCCACATCGGGCTCCCTGCTCCGCGGGAAGCCTGCTTCTCCCTCTCCCACTCCCCCTGCTTGTGTCCTCTCTCTCGCTGTGTCTCTCTCTGTCAATTAAATAAATAAAATCTTAAAAAAAAAAGTACCTTACTGTAAAAAAATAAGAGAGGATTTGCTGCCAGAACACATGGGTTCATCCCACCTCTCTAACTTACTAACCTTCCGCACTTGGTCAAGTCTCTTACTCTCTGTGAATTTTCTCTATTTTCTTTCTGTTCCAGATTTACCCATTCACCCATTTTGACAGTCCTTTTTGCAGCCAGAATCCATGGGCACAAAAGTTGGGCCCAGAGACTTCTTTTTTCCACTCTTTTCCAGGTGAAAATTTTTACTATGGTTGCTGTGTCAGTGCCAGGGTGGTGGTGACATTTTCCATTTAATTTTTAGATAGCAGAACCATGAGAAATCGTACATCTACAGGATTGTGATAGAACTGAAGGAGAATAAACACCACCTGAAAACAGAACTCAGAGATCAACAAACAGTCTTGCAGTGGTGGTAGTTAAGACCTCGAGATGTAGTCACCGAATGTGCTGATTCCCGTCTCCCTGGGGAGAGAGTGGGTGTGTTTGCGCATGTTTCTGTCATCGTTGGATTATGTCAGGCAGGAGAAACAGATGGAATTGCAGGAAGGGGAAGGAGACTGTGTTAACTTTATTGTCAACCATGGTGTTTTCCATCTACACACCATCTTCAATGCAGATGGCCACACCCACACTGCCTTGCTTTAGAAAGCCAGACAGACCACGGAAAGCTAGAGTAAACTCCAGGTATGAGGAGGCAGAAACTGGGAGGTAGCAAAGAATCTTGGTTATCAAAGAGATATAGAGTAGAGAATAAGGAGGTCAACAGGCAGAAGGAAGAGTGGGAGGAAAATGGGGAGGAGCCAAAATTCATGGAGTAGCTGAGTTATAGTAATGACAAAGAACTAGGGTTAATGTTCACGGATTCTTGATGGAATGTTCTCTGGCCAAAAGGGAGCAATCTTCCAGTTCAGGCCTCTATGAGGCCTGGCCAGGCTACCATCCCTGCTCTTGAATTTCTATAAAATTTCATTTCTTCATTAATCCTTCCAATAAAACCCATTTCGTGAAAAAGCCACACTGAAATTGGAACATCTGTCAAATCATATTAAATGAAAAGTTCCTTAATCATACACGATCATTGACTTGAAAATTTTTTTACCTTGATCACTTCCAAATAATACTTGAATTATCTGGAAGACTGGTTAACTGTAAGCCCGGTCCTATCCCCAAAGTAGTGGATGTTTTTCTAAGATAAACAGATCCTATTGAAACTTTACCCTCCCTCATTTTATCAAATGCTTTTTGTGATTACAAGAAGAGAAGGCAGAAGATGATTTAAGGAATTAAGGGAACAGAAAGAAACTACCCATTAGATGCAAATCTTTTGTAGACATTATGGGGAAGAAGTGACCCAGATCTCTTCCTGCTTTTCCACTCTCCACACACAATGTTGACAATATCATTTCTTTGCATAAAAAAATTAATAGAAAAGACAACTGCACCTTGCAAAGGTAAAAACTAGGAACCTCTTGGTTTTGGGTCTCCCATATGTGGGGAGGGGGGATTGCAAAACATGGAAAAGAATTATAATTCTTTCTTAAACAGTCTGTAACAACAATGAAGTATAGCTTCTATAAACTATACTTTCCTTGTAAACAAACAAACAAACAAAAAAACAAAGTACAACCGTTTTAATGCTGTTATACTCTGTGGTGTAAACAACTTTCAAAACTAGGTCCTGTCTTATAGCTGTGATGAATTTGTGCATTCTTTTAGAACTATGTATCCAAGGAAGAAAGTCCCAGAGTGCTTTCTGCACCACTGAAGAACTACCAAGCAACAATAAGTAAAAATAAATCTTCACAGCCCAAGTGCAGAGCTTTGAATTTCCATGATGCCTTTTACACGAAGCAATTGAATAGAAGCCCCTTTGTCTGAAATTCCAACAGAATTTGAATTTTGTTCACTTTTTTCCATATCAACTATTAAGTACCCTGTATATTGATTTTTGTATTTCAGTAGTATTTATATTTATACCATAATACAATTCAACTCCTCAACAAATCTTCTAAGGTTATATAATTTATTTATGTAGGCTTATATGGGATTGATAACAAAAAAGTAAATTATAATAAGTCTTACCTTCCATTTTTGTTTTTAGGCACATTAGAATTTACTTCAGTTACATTTTTCAGGTCTTGGTCTCTATAGGAGAAAAATATATATAATATGTATAAATATAAATACGGGACATTGGAAATCTGACATTGAGCTAATTGACCTATACAACTCAAATATAAGAGCGTGGATTATGTGTGAGAGAGAAAGAACTAATGTTTTAGAAGTTTTAAGAAATCTGAAAATAAACAACCGATTTATAGTCCATTTAAGTTAACATTTAATGATTACTAACTTTGTGTCACAAAGTACTAACTATGTATTTTCACATGGATGATTTCATTCAGATCTCACAAAATCCTGTAGGACAGCATCTAGGGCTCAGGAAGGCTAAGTGAATTTTCCAAGGTCAATTAACTAATTTGTAAAAGAGTCAAGATTTGAGGCCAAGCCACCTGCCCATCTGAAATCAATTCTTGGATATTTAATTAGAGACTTCATTCCAGCTTTGTAGATCACAGAAACACGAAACCCAAAATTTGAATAAACAATTCATAATGTGGAGGATAAATGGGACAATTAGATTCTTGAATCGAGCTGCAGTAATGATTAGATACACTTTCATGATATACAATATCCCCTGGTATGTTATTCATACATTAGTTATTTATATATTTGGTTATAACACTGGTGGTTCTTGATTTTTTTTTTCCCATGAGTTTAGAAAAGGCTTTGTCATGAATCCGATTGATTGGGAGGCTTGTTTAGGAGTCAAAACAATGAAGTCATCTCTTTCCCTATTTCCTTGTTAATTAACCTTCCTAATCTTCCTTTTGTAAAGTAGACTAATCATATTTAATTTCATAAGGTTGCGGTGAGGATGAATGAGCTAATGTAAATAAAATTCATGGCACAATGCCCCCAGTCAAGTGTGAACTGAATAAGCATAAGTAAATGATAATTACTAGAAGTTCAGTGACACAGCAGTAGGCACTATTGATTCCAATATTTTGACGGACTACCTTTTCATTTTTATTTCTGCTCTAATTTTTTTCACCTTGGGAATTAGCTCTAGTTTTCATAAATCTCCCTTCTCGTGATTGTGAATAGTAGATTTAAATAAGGTTATTATACATGGAATCAGAGTATGGACTCTTACTCATGAAATTAATATCGATAAGGATGAAAATACTATAAAAAAGTTCTTGTAGTATAACAAGACTTAACACTCTTTTTATATAACATCCAAACCATCAACAATTGGTAAATCTGCAAATTAGGCAGCATTCCATAGCCACACTTAAACTTCACATTTAAAAAACTAGCTGCATAATTTTGAAAATGTAGAAATTAGATTATTTTTTAATGTGAGTTATAGTCAGGAAAATATGCTAATTAATACATGTCAAAAGCACAAGATTTCAGAAATAGCTCAGAAGTGTTGCAATCATTTGATTCTGTAGTCTGAATGATGTAAAATTCAGAACTGACTCCTTCAACGACATAACTGCTAGAACTATGTAAGGGAACCCCCCAGATCATATCGTTCAAATTTAGAAATGGAGACAGAAGGCTTTTGCTGAACCCCTAATGGTCCTTTGCTAATTATTAGAGCTACCTTCTTGGCCGCAGGGGCCACTGTACTATTTTAATAACCTGGCATTAAGTGATCCTCCTTTTATCATTTTAAAATAATACTTCACTAAATACTTGGGGATAATGAAATAAAAAGAAATGTATCATGATGTTACATAATCCAGCTTCCTAGGATGGTTGGCAGTAGTAAATGGTGAGAGACCACCAGAACTGTGAATCTTGAGGGAATTAAAATTTTGTCCCAGCAAATGATTCTCCTTCCACTGTTAACCTAGGATGAACTGAGTGCCATTATTTAAGGACACTGGTGGTTTTTACTACAACTTGAGAGTAGAGTCTCATTACCATGGCCTTACATGACCTTGTACATAGAAGCTGCTCCAAACATATTTGGGAAATTAAGTTCAAATTCTCTTTTTCTACATCTCCAGGGGAAATCTTTAACTACCTTACCTAGCTCTGGGAAAAGATATTAAAGGGACCCCCAAGGGGAAGACATTAGACCGTGAACCCTTAAGGCAGTCAGCTCTACCCACATCTAGGTACACAGTGTTCACCATGACCTTGTAGAAAAAGATCAGTAAAGGCAGTGATGGATATTTCATCTCCCTTGGTGTCAGTCACCCAGAGCCTGCCTTACTTCACCCCTGAATTACATATATTTCTTTTTTTATACAGCTCTCAACTCTAGCTTTGTTTCCTTGTTCTGGGATGTTGTTACGGGTCAAATTGTGTTCCCCCACCAAATTCATATGCTGAAGTCCTAATGCTAGTATGGTCAGAATGAGACCTTATTTAGAGATGGGGTCTTCACACAGGTCATCAAGTTCAAATGTGGTCATTGGGGTGGGTCCTACTCCAGTATGACTAGTATCTTTACAAGAAGAGGAAATTTGGATGAAGACACACACAGATGTAAGACAATGTGAAGATGCAGGGTGAAGGCAACCCTTTACAAGCCAAGGAGAGAAACCTTGGAATAGATTCTTCTTTCTCGATCTTCAGAAGGACCCACCCTTACAGACGTCTTATTCTTGGACTTCTAGCCTCTAGCACGGTGAGAAAATAAATTTCTATTTTAAGCCATTCAGTCTGTGGTATGTGTTATGACAGCCCTAGAAAACTAATAGAGATCTGCTTCTGCCCTCACAACACAATTACACTTAGTTTGTGAGTCTGATCCTGGACTGCCTCACTTCTGCTGGTACCTTCCATTCGATCCTGGCTGCTGCAGATACTGGATCTTTGCATGTCCTCCCACCCTTGCCTCGGGACCCAAGCCTTTTTGGATCCCAGCTATCAGGAGGGAGAACAGGAATGAGTTTTGGCCTGAGGAAGAAGGAGAAGCCCGAATCTAACAAATCCAGTAATTACAAGTAGGTAACTCAAAATTGGAACCTGTACATGCCTTCAAAGGAACTTACCCCCAACGTGATAGAACTATGAATCATTGGCTAAGCCGTATTATTAGTGGCTTTTTAGAATTTTTGGTGTTTTTATTAAACAGCATCACATATCAAGTTTGGTAGAGTAGATTATATGATTTTATTCTGAATAATCTATACTAATATTTAAAGCAAAATGAAAAGTTCCAGATTATGAAGAGCACAAAATGTGTATTTGCTTTGGTTGTTCACCCTGATTGATGTCATCAGCTAGATCTGAAGATCTAATAAAAGAAGTTCAGATTGCCCATAAACTTCCCAAATTGAAGGATATAAAAATAAATTTTCACTCTTTATTAAGAACACATCTATTATATCATGTCTTCTGCACTGTGGCGGAAAATGAAACACTGTGAGCCAAAGTGTGACATGTAGATTTTTCTAGAAGCCCGGCTCCGTGCAGCAGGTTGGAGCAAAAGCTTGATTCCCAACCCTTTCCATGGCAGTTGCAGTGGAAGGAAGACCTGTGTATGTTTATGAGTAGTTGGAATTAGCTCCAAGGAAAGTTCTCCATGGACACAGTGAGAAATGCTAAAAAGAAATTTTAACCTTTGCAACTAAAAATGCTTTTTTATATGTAGATTTCAAAATTTGGGGAAGGGGGAATGAGTCATCTGTTATGTAGAGTCATAGTACAACTTTTGAATATAAGCCATTTATCCAATAAGTCAATAAATGTAATTTAAGCCAATAAATGTAATTTATTTTCTACTGTCCCATTAAGGAATATAACACTCCCTTACAGAGCAGATTAAGGAAAAAAATAGGTATTACTATGTCTGCTATTATATAACTTTTCTCAAGATAAGTGCTGCATGAGAGAAAGTTAACAGCTCACTCACCAGTGCTCTTCCTCTCTCATGAGGGTGTGGGTGGTATTTATTAAAAGCTGCAATATGTTTCTCTCTCTACGGCTTACTTAAATTGTTTTTGTAGAGTATCAAACACATTTGCAAAATTAAGAGCCTCCACATAAAAAGTTTACTATGGCACTTCTTTTGTGCCAAGAACTAAATCTTGGGCATTAAGCTTTAGTTCAAAAGGAATATTTGGCTCTCTGAAAGTACAGAATACAGTGAGATAACTGTATAATTCTTCAGCTCTGCTGACATGGCAAAATGGGCCCAGATTTGTATTTCTTTATGGTTCCTTTCAATGAGAGAGTCTTAAATATTTTCTATTAAATAAATTAACAGGTCCATAGAGAAATTGGACAATGTAGGTATTTTAAATATAAGATGTAACCAAGGATTTTAGTGGCTCTAATTCACCATGGTTGATTGAGATTCTGTCACAAGCAAGAGATAGTCATGGCTTAAGCAAGCAGACCCGTCATAAGATACCAGATTTCTTCAATCTGGTTTCACTCCTGGGGGCTCAGAATGTTAGAGCTGGAAAGCAGTAAGCTTTACTAGCTGGATGATCAAAGGTCCTTGATTAGTTTGAGATTTTAGCCTTTGATTCACAAAGTATTTGTTAAGCACCTAATATGGGCCAGGCATTATGTTCTGCATCGTAAATAAAGAAGTGAATAAGACAGACCCAATTCTTACCCTCAAAAATCTTACAGTTGGGGAGAGATGATTAAATAATAATTCCCCCTATGAGACAAATGCTATGGGACAGGGTCAGAGAGCTTGAGAATGTCTAGAAGAAGCACCTGATGCAGATGTGGTGGGTCCAGGGGACCTCCCAGAGCTAAGTAAGAGACAGCTATTTTGGGACCTAAGGGATAAGTAGAAGTTATCAATGCAATACAGATGAAAGATGGGTGGGTTTGCTTGTGGGGGGAGCATCATGGGAGGTGGGAGAAGCCTGTGGAGGCAGGATAAGGTAGGCTTTGGAAACCACGTTAAGGAGTATGGTCATTGTCCAATGGCAATGGAAAGCCACAGGGAGATTTGATCAGAATGATGTGATCAGATTTGTGTTTTAGGAAGGTCACTCTATACTGTGGCCGATGGACTGAAGAACAGGAGGCAAGACTGGCACAGAGGGAGCAATTAGAAGACAGAATTATAAGAGCGCCTGGGTGGCTCAGTGGTTAAGCATCTGCCTTCGGCTCAGGTCATGATCCCAGGGTCCTGGGATCGAGCCCCGTATCGGGCTCCCTGCTCCGCGGGAAGCCTGCTTCTCCCTCTCCCACTCCCGCTGCTTGTGTTCCCTCTCTCACTGTGTCTCTCTGTCAAATAAATAAAATCTTAAAAAAAAAGAAGATAATTATAATCCAGTTACAGTAGTATAGTGGAAGATGAAATGTCTTAGTTCCTGAGATAGAAGCCTCCAAAATGACCTACTGATTATGTGGGGAATGAAGCGCTGGAAAGAGTCAAGGTTACCCCTCCCCGCCAGCTTTCTTTCTTGAGCAGAAATATGAGCAATCTGCATCAGGAAGATAGGAAGAACCTCTTGTCTTGTTGGAATACTAGAACTTGGAGGTGTATGTCTTAGCTAATGGAAGCCCTTAAAATTATGGAAGTATAATAATGTAAATAGTTCAGAATATTTTTTCTACTTCAGATGAAGGATGCCTTTTCTAACTGTACAGGCCTAAGTGGCACTAGCTGTTTTTCAATCTTCAATTGGAAACAGCAGTTTATGGGCTACAGATAATTGAACATCTTCCTTTTATGTTGGTTCGTGAAAATGTGAAACTGTCACTGCTAAAAGCCATGCAGTTTCTCCCTGAATAAATGAAAATTCTGTGCACATCTGCATTTGTTCAGGTTGTTGTGTTCCTAGAAGGAGCTCAGGGACACCGCTTACATTCTGATCGATGACCAAAGTTTATTCTGCCTCTAACTGTGAATTAAATATACAGCTGCTGGAAATGTCAGCAAAGTCACATAAAAAGGATTCTGATTCACTGCTGTTCTACTATTAAATAATCGGTGTTCCTGTCACACTGAATTGAATGTAAAACAGCCTGTGGCTGTTATTCCTCTGGGAAATCCTTTAAAATGCCCCCTCCTTATCCCCCATTAAAATCAAGTGAGCAGGGTAGATACATTATATTACAGGTGGCTGAACCAATTGAATGAAGTCACTCTTTTCAAATAAGCAGCTTTCCTGTTTGTCTGTTCTGCTCTAATTCTTGAACAACCTGGCTGATTATCATTAAATCTGGCGTCACCCCTAAAGAACAATCAGACACTGCCTAGGTTTAGATTCATGGATCAAGCTGCCATCTGAAAGCAGCATGATGGCCAATGTTTTCAAATTTCCTTTTTTTAGGAATCTCATCCATATAAGGAAAATGTCTTCTTTCTATAGAAATTGTTTTAGAAGTTGCCAAAACACAAACTACCTTTTTATAAAATTAGCGTCTTCTAATAACCAAAAAGCAGAAAAGTTGCCATCTTCTGTCAACAAAGCACATTTGCCAGAGAGAAGGAGGGAAGGAAGGGAAAGTGAGAAAAAGAGGAAAGTGTGAGTGTGCACGCTCACGTGGGCGTGTGTATGTGTGAGAGAGACAGAGACAGAGACAGAAGTACATTTTGTGGAATCAGCCACGGAGGGAAGAGTTGGCCACAGTAACGACTGCCAGTGATTCCGCATGTGGTTCGTAAACCTAACCACTTCCTACGTGGTGGGGAAACTCCTCATACTGCTACTAATGAAAAGAAAAATCTGTCCCCACCAAAACCACTATGAAGAAATGGTTTTACTTAAAGATATTTCCATACAATTCTCAGTGGCAGGGTCGACAGCAAAAGTCTGTTGTCATTTCAGCTATTAGGAAACCTCTAGGAAACAACTACTTTTCTCCCCTCCCTGTCACTTTAGTGATGATTTTCTAGAATAAATGTTTCTAATTGTAGTCCTTTGGCTGCAGGGTGGGAGGGAGCCTTGGAAGGGAAGAGACTGTGGGGAGCATGAAGGGTGGGAAGAAGAGGAGAATCTGAACTGTTTTAGTCACAGATTTTTTGTTTTTCTTCAATTTAGTGACATCAGAAGGGCTTCAGTTTAGATCCGGGATGGGTTTTCTGTCTTAATAAGGTCATTGAATGTCTTTGAGCTATAGTTTCCTCTTCTATAAGACAGGGTGTGTGAATATATTTTGCATGGGGTAGTTGTAAGGATTAGATGTAAAATGTAAAATTCCTAACTAGAATCTTGAGACCACATCAAGATAGTTAGGCAAAGTCATTTACCGCTCAGGGTTTCTGAGAGCTGAAGATTTCACTTTAACAAGGTTGTCCAAGCCTTCACTGTTCGAAAGAGGAAAAAAAAAAAGTTCAGATTAGGGATAGGTTTTTGGTTGGGCTAGGTCAATAAAGCAACATTATAAATCCACTCCACCCAGGGGCGACAGGCAGATGAAAACATGAAATGACTGCTTTTATCTGATTACCTCTGACTGCTTCTGGTCACTGCAGGATTCACTTTGATGAGGTTATCCAGATCCTGATTTCTTTAAATAGAAAAATAAAAGGAGAGCAGGTTAATGATAAAGTTCTTTTGGCAGGTGGATTCAGGTTACAAATCTGCTTGAAATAATAATAAGACAAAACATTCTCCCTGACCAAAGCACAAAAATGAATATAGTTCTATTACCTCTGGTTGTTGGTGAGAGTTTCAGGATTCACTCTGATGAGCTTATCAAGATCTTGATTTCTTTAAGTGAAAAAAAAAAAATTAAAGCAGCTTGTGTTAGAGATAATGCAGGTTCAAGTTGGTTGAAATTAGAAGAAAGGATTAGCTATCTTATCACTTATACATACTGGTTTGGCACAGAACAGCCTTGAAATAAGTTTCCTAGCTTTAGGGGGGACAAATTTTGCTGGATTAGAAGAGAAGCTGCTCTGACTTAACATACTTCAAAGCCAGAGCACATCCACGGGGGCACACTGGCAGGCGTTCACAGCAAACATCTGGTGATTAACAACTTTGCACTCTGCAGTGTTTTAACATTATGGAGATATACTCTGATTTTCATGTCCTTTTCCTTGTTATTTTTAAGATCATATTCACCAACTGAAGATTTTTTTTTAATAAGCTCTAAAATTGGAATTATACTTAGCCTAAGGCTTGGCATGGAGAATTCCAGCAATCCATTAAATTGGTGACTTTTCTTTGCTTAACAATAAATAAAAAGCTGAATTAAACGCAGCTGTTCATGGTCAAATGACTTACAGACTCTGAAGACTGTCCTCTTCCTATTGGAAGCCCCACCAGTTTCTTTTCTCAGTCACAAAAATATTTCTTCCCACATAGTTTGCTGCCATTCACTGCCTCAGTATAATACCTTGTTTTAAAGGCTAGTGAATGATGATTCTTCAAAGTGTTCCTTTAAACCCCTTTTTAATATTTATTCAGAGAAATAAGATAGTCTGTCATGGCAAGAAATTGCAAGACTGAGAACACCTGCTTTTCACTACCGTCTTGGACAACAACCTGCCTGTCTTCCCTACACCCCAACAGCAGTTCTTTTTCCTTATAGAAAAGTAAGAGACATTTTAACTGTCAAAAAGATTGAAACAAGATTAAGGACTGAAGGGGAGCCATTTGGAGCTTCATCACCAAAAAGTTCTAAGAAAAGGTCTGCATTTCCCTCCCCCAGCCCTAATATTTCCATAGAATGTGCTTCCCAGCTTCTGGCTTCACTCAGTTCCTTCTTTCCATCATCATTCTCAGATTTTCATGGTAGACAGAAAGCCGCTAATTGAATTTTCACTGTTTTGAATTACCTCCAATAATAGTATTTGCAATTAAAGATAATCCATTGATGTCTCCAATACTATTAAAGGAATGATTAACATATGACAGCTATCCAAAATATAATTTCCTTGCATGAACTGATTGCAAATCTGTTATAAAGCTCAACTGTGCCTAAAAGACAATAATCTCTAAAGTGAGGTTATTATACACCTTAAACTAATGTAACACTGTATGTTAACTACACTGGAATTAAAATTAAATTAAATTAAATTAAAGTGAGGTTAATTTTACATATTAGAAGAAAAATACAAAGAATAAAACTTTGTAGAGGAGATAAACTCAAAGGCCACAGTCTTTTAACGTATAAATTAATCACAATATTTCTTAGTGTAACTACATATAATATTTGTGTACCAGCACAATTAGAGTAAGCTGCACACACAACCATGAGAACTTGCATTTTTCACTGTTCTGATGAGCACAGAAAATGGGATTTATCCAACAGCCTAGAACAGTGATATTCAAATTGCTGTTTCATAAAACCCATTAAGAAATACATTTTGTATCACAGCCCAATTCTCTCTTTTCAGACAGACATACATAAGCAAACACAAATTTCATTAAATAATACCTTTACTACATAAGAACTCTCATCTTTTCCACTCTAATTAATTTTATTTAATTGGGAAAAATACTGATTGCCACTCACTACATTAATTACAAGACCCTTTCATGGGTTTTGACCCACAGTTTGAGAAATCCTAGCTTAGAAAATATAGAAATGTATGCTATATTCTACCACTACTCTTAAAAAAAACAGCAGTGTTTTTAACAAAACAAGGATCTCGGTATCAGTTCTGAATTGCCTTGACTGATAGCACCATGCAGTTTATCTCAATGAATTGAAAATAACAAATTTATACACCTTTTTTTTAGGCCCTGGATCTCTGCACACACAGGAATCTTGTATCGGAATTTTATCCAGGAAAAATGTAACTCTTCCTGCTCAAGTGACTGCTTTCAATTTGTTCTTGCTTTAAGGATGTAGGAAAGAGATGTATTAGAATATTTAGCTATTATTACCTCCATGTAGTTGAAGAGCTATAAAGTTTTGCAGTCATTTGCACATTTGTGCCATTGTCATCTATGAGGTCACATTTCAAGGGACCCTGTGGAGCAGTAAAGGAAACTTCTTGGCTGTCCCATGGCAAGAGCAACAATCCTAGCTTTATAAGCCTCCACTATTTCTGGAAGTACTTAATTAACTTTCATTTACTTTTATTTTTTTAAATTTTTTTATTGAAGTATATAGTTGACCTATTAGTTTCAGGTATACAACAGTGATTTGACAATTCTATACATTATGAAATGCTCACCACAATAAGTGTAGTTACCATCTATCACCATACAAAGTAATAATCTTATTAAAAATGAACAGAGGACCTAAAAGTCTATTTTTCCAAAGACGACATCAAGATAACTTTCATTTAAGATCAAAGTTCGTGTGCTGTGATTTCAAGACCAGGAGTTGGTCTGGGAGTTAGAAAAAGTCACAGGATACTATGAGATTTTTGCCCCGGCCTCAATATTCTCATCTGTAAAATGAGGAGACTGGACCATTTCTAAGAATCTGCCTATCGCTAACATCTTCTACTCCTAGGAATCTATGAATATGAACTTGATTGCCTGTCATGTTTATTAAATTAGCTAGTCAATGTCTCTTTTTCTTTTTAAATGCAATGTCCTGCCAATGCATTCTATATTCAGCAAGCAGAACATGAGTGTTCCAAAATGTAATATATTAAATTGACAACCTATTATTCTCTTGGAGTAACATCTCTGTACCCCCAGTACATAATTAGCTTTAATCTATGATAATTGCCTGCTGTTAATAAAATTATGTCTACTGAATTCTCTTTTTGGTGTCCATGGCCTATAATTATACCTAATGTGCAACTAAAGATACCTGGTTGTAAGCTTCAAACCCAGTAGGTGCTCAATAATTATTCACTGCCTAGCAGATCAAGAACTACTACCAGTCTTCCACCAGTTTTCTCTGTGATCCTGGTCAGATCACTCAATCTTTGTGAGTCTGTTTCCTCTCCTGGAAATGGAATGGGTTTGACTGGAACAGTGGTTTTCCCAAAACTATTCAAACTAACTGGTCTGGGAGTTCTCTCAGGTTCCTTCCTTCATCTCTAAAATGTTGCACTTTTATATGTACCAACTAAACTCAAGGGAAATCATGAGAACATTCTTAAGAGATGTATGTGTGTGTGTGTGTGTGTGTGTGTGTGTAATCCCTTATATATAACATATATAATTCCCATATAAGTGGGAGTAGTGTGTAACAGTATAAAAATCCTCGTATAACCAGAGGCAAAGGTGAGTTTTATCATCTTACAGATACTACCTAAAGAAATAACAAATTTTAGGTCCCTAACTTTGCTGGGAGCATCAAAAGATCTAAGAAATAATATACCTCATAAAATTTCCACTGACTACCAGAGAACACTCTTTAAAAATGAAGTACATGGTACTGCTGATGATGAATCTAATAAAGCATTCTAGGTCTTTTTAAAAATTAACTATTATTAATAGTTCCAGAGAAAAGGTATTAACATCAATACTACAAATTAACTATTATTAATACATTTTCATCAGTTCCAGAGAAAAGGTATTAACATCAATACTACAAAGAAAAAACAAATATAGCACATAGACCAGCTATGTTCCTACCCCAATCACTCCCTTCAATTGCTTTACTTGAGGCCAAAAGAAGTGAGGTCACTACCAAATTATTTTCTCCAGCTATTGCTTTTTCTTGCTAGTAACAAATAGACATTTATTTCCAGGAACATATAAAAATTGTGACGGCTTTTCAAGACCTATATTCAGTTTGCCCACAGAATGACTGTAAACCATTTATGTTTGTATTGTACTTAAAGAGGAAAAAAATGAAACAGAACCCAAATAACATCTTTCTCTTACCCAGCCATGTTTTTGACAGCTTTGGGGCTCACATTAATAAGTTCATCAAGACCTTCTTTCCTGCTAAAACGAAATAAAATAAAAGTTCAAATTCAGCTGGAAATCTGCAAATTTTATGACTGACATTTTTTTCTTTTGACACATGTGGATCATACAATGGGATCCTAGATAAAAAGTAATGTTTACCAAGTTTCTACTTTACAAAGTTTTTAAAAATCCTCAAAACAACCTACTGAGGTAGATATTACCATCGTCCCCTTACAAATAAGAAATAGAGCTTCATGGAGGTTAAGCCTCTCTTTGGGGGCAGGTAGGAAGAAATAACAGAGGATGAACCAGGTTTGGAACCATAGCAACTGGACCCCAACCCTCACGCTCCTTCCCACTATCATCCTCCCTCTGTGTTCACAGTAATTCCTTATATCTGCACCATGCTTTCCACCATCATCACAGTAATCCTGAGAGAGGTACCTTGGAGTCACTCTCTCATGCTTTTCTTGACCTTTGACCCCCAGGTATAATGAGTCTTAACTACTCAAGAAGACAGAAATATATTCAATGTCATGCGAAAATATTATGGTCAAGTATAAGAATGCTATGTCACCAATTTTCTCGAGTCATTTAAAAACTAATCCTTGGGTTTGTGAAGGAGTAGAAAGTCAATATTCTTTGTTTTATTCAGTTTTATGAACTAATGATTTATCAACTATAAATTTACAGTAATGACCTAGTTACGCTATGATTGTATCAAAATGGATTTCTCAAGTAGTAATTATACAGAATTTGCTTCAATATTGTAATGAAATAAATTGAAACAATGAAAAAAGAAAAGTCTATCCAGCATCACTACACATCAACAAATCAATTTGTTCTCATTTTTCTCATGTCCCCTTTCAGAATGCCCTTAGCTAAATGATTAGTCTTATTTTTTGGCAGAAATTGGAGATTTGCTCAGGAGTCTTCAATAATCTTGATAAATCTACCTTGTGTTTGCTGAGGGAATGTGTTTGGATCCTAAAAAAATGATGCAAGTTGCAACAGTTGGTAAAATAAATTAAAATCAATAATAATCTGTACATTTTTTTCAACTTTAATATTACATTAAGAAATTATTGCTGACTTATAACTTCATCAGGGATGCCTAGGTGGCTCAATCAGTTAAGCATCTGTCTTTAGCTTAGGTCATGATCCCAGGGTGCTGGGATCGAGCCCTGCATCGGGTTTCCTGCTCGGTGGAGAGCCTGCTTCTCCCTCTGCTTGCTGCCCCCCCTGCTTGTGCTTGCTCACTCTCTCTCTCTCTCTCTGACAAATAAATAAATAAAATCTTTAAAAAAAAAAACTTCATCATTATTTGAATTCTTTTTAGCCCTATGTAAAAGCAGGTGGCTATGAATTCATATCTTATACAATTATGTGTATATGAGAATTTAATTTAGTTTTATTCTTGTTTATCTCAAGACAACCTCAAGTTTAAATTGCTCTTAAGCTTCTTATTCTCCATATCACATTTTGTAGTAGAATTAGCATTTAGGATATTTTAGGAGGTTGTAACAAACAAGAGAAAAATATAAAATTGTTTATCATTTCCAGGTATTCCTTGCTTCTCTCCCCTCCAAAAAATAACAAAAACAAAAGCAAGCAAACAAAACAACAAAACCTGGGACTTTCAAAAAACAGAGTATTTCCTGATTCCAAGGTATACAGGTAATATACATAACGTGAATGTGTAATATTGAGGCTACTCTAAGGTATTAATTAAATCACTTCAGAATTGCACTTCATGCAAGGCTAAATCAGAACAAGGAAGACTTTTGGTTTACATAAATTGCTTTTATTCTAAACACCCAAATAGGCAATCATAGCTCTAAAGAGACATTTCTATTACCACGCAATGGGCTCTCATACCAGCACTAACCCCAAAGGCCTAAACAAGTTGCCTAATTTGATATACATTATTATTGGGCACTATGTTATATATCCTGAAGGGAAAAAAGGCCAGAAAGGTTTGTATCACTTAAGGAATCTTTAGAATTAACTTGTAAACTAATTTTATCATGTACATATCCTTTCATGTAAATTATTGCATCCTATTATGTTGAACTATTATGCTGAAATAGAATTATGTTGAAATCCCAAGCATGGAACACAAACCCCAGACTGATAAGAGATATTTTAAGAAATTCTTTATCCTCCATTAAAGCCCACAGCCCAAGAGCCCTGAGCAAGGACTTGAACATTAGGTTTATGACACGAAGCTGTTGGTTTTGGGTCCCATCACTGGTTGTCTCAATGGTAGAACAATGAATTACATTTTTTTTTTTAAAGTTAAATAGAAAAAAACAGAAGAATTTCATGAACCTCACCTTTGGTTAGTTCTGTTTGTTTCAGGAGACACTTTGATGAGGCTGTCAAGACTTTGGCCACTTTAAAACATGGAAGAAATGATCAGATCAGTGGTTGATTTACATCATGTGGTTGCAAATATTAAAACCAAGAAACATTTTTTGTTATAAAAATATTTTGTTATAAAATATTTATGAATATAGAGATCATCTCAAACGATTGGAATTTTCCAGTGTTGTGAATATATATTTTTGGACCTACATACTGCTGCATAGAAATAATAAACAATAACCACCAGTTTTAGAAAATTGATGATGTGCCAGGCACTGTTCAAGTGATTTACATGATTTATATAAGTGAATCCTCACATCAATTATTCAGTATGGGAAGTATTACCATCCCATTTTCTCAAAGGGAAAAACTGAAACAGAAAGATTATGTGAAAGCAAAGTACTCTAACTCAAGAGCCCTTGACTCTTTCCATGATACCAACCATCGTATTGGCACTTGGTAATTGCATTAGCACTGAAGTGACTAGACAGCACCTGGTCCAATTTCCTTACTGCGAGGACAAGGACACAAGCCCAGAAAGGGGAAGTGGCCGGTCACATTCTGCGGTTAGTGAGGGCAGAGCTAAGGCCTAGGCCCACATCTATGGTCTCCCATCCAGTTCTCTTTCCCCACTCCTGTGCCATCCTCTGCTTAAGAAGAATAAACAAATCAATGAACATATGTGTCTTGTCCATTCTTGGAAGTCAACTGTGCATCTAATTAATCAAAGGTTATCTCCATTACATTAAGAATCAGTTGACCAAAATCTTCAACATTTTAGACATGAGGTCATGGAGGTCACATGACTTTTCTTGAACTATTATTGAGTTGTCAATCTGCTGAAATGTTAATTTAATTATATTTTTAAGCATTGGTATGTATGAAACAAAAAAACCAGAAGCTTATTAAATCTTACCCTTGCATGCTTTTTCCTGTTCTTGGAACCACTTTGATGAGGTTATCAAGATCTTTGGAACTTAAAAACAAAAAACAAAAATGATAAGTAAAAATGGAATTAAATCAACTAAGTATTTATTTAAAAGATATATGTGTTCAAGATGAATTTTACTATTAAGTTTTGAGAAAAATCATACCAGTCTTTGTCCTTAATTTTTAAAGTACAAATTTTGACCTCCATACAAATCATCAATATATGGCTCAGATTCCTATTTAACCTCAAAATAAAACCATAACTTTAGGGCAATATTGAGTTTTTCAAAAAATCAATTAGCAACTACGTAATGATTTGCCAAAAACTTTCACCTGCCCCCCAACAAGTATTCCATCTAACACTGTAGCTGTTACTAAACTGTATTTTGTTAATAATTTCCATTTATAGTGCCTTCTTGCTTTAAAGGGATTTTATATATCCATTTTATATCCATTATTTCACTTGATCCTTACAACAACCAAGTGACAAAGGTAGACCAGACAGTTATAAATGATCCTCATTTTATAACTAAAGAAGCCTCAGCTCAGAGTGTTCTAGGGACTTGCTCAAAGGCAAGTAATGGGAAGTAATGGATTTCAGACTTTCTGATTCCAACCCAAAGATTTTTTCCACACAGCTTTTCTGATGAGGGTCACAAATTGATGCAGGCAGGGAAGGAAGAAAGATAAGACATAATCTTCACCTTGCGTTACTTCTGTTTACTTCAGGAGTCACTTTAATGAGATTGTCAAGGCTCTGGCCCCTTTAAAACATTGAAGAGAAATGTTGAGGTTAATGATAGATTAATACCAAATGAATAAAGTTATTTATTAAAACTCAGAAACAGGATAAACACTTACTGAGATTATGCCAAAGAATGGAAGATTGTTAAAAGTGATGATGCAGAAGTATGTAGGGATTTATACATCTCTGAGACTCAATGAGACAGTATTTTAATCTTAGAGCCTTTAGGTCAGTTGCAAACACTGTACTGGGACTCTGTCTCGATTATGATTCATTTAATGCTATGCTCTAAACCTTTGCTAGGTGCACTGAACATTTTGTAATAGTCTATATACGCATATCATGGAACATTCCAGAAAGCATATCCTCTCTTAATATCAACCTCCAACATGCTGTGGGAATTTAAAATCAACTTTGGAGAATCCATATTTTGTAAAATTGACATTCATTAGCAGGTTTTCTATTCACAGCACCGGATTAAGAATAAGATACCAATTTGTTGAGGTCCATGTTATACAACCTAGTATCTGTGTCTGGTACTTATGTGTAAACTACAAATTTGGACTAGTTGTGTTGGCAACAAACAATAGGAAGATTAAAATCTATAGAGTTCTGAAATGTAAGCTATATTTACTATAATAAAAAACTCCATGTAGTCACTAAAAACATGTCAGTATTTTCTTGTTACCCTTGAATATATTCTGTTTCTGATCTTAATGGAATTTTGTTTTTCATATTGTTTCTATGTGTTTTCCACACACACAGCACAAGCCAATGCCCCTCTGATCTACAGAGGATGCCACATGGGTAAAGGACATCTACAGAAGGTACACTCTGTTTCTCCATGCCCTGTGGTCCTACTAAGATTGTATCACAAATTCTCTGAGGTTGTATCTATACAACATCAAAGATACAGATATTTGGAAGCAACCAGATGTTGACCCAAGTTTTTACTTGTATCCAGATGTCTGAGAATGTGTATACCCAGGCTAAAAGCAGCAATTAAAAAATGCAGACCTTTTCCATGCAAAATGAAACAATTACCCCAACAGAGGCAAGTATTCTATCCCAGAATACCCCTTGTTGATGTTTTTTTACCTCTTGTTAATTTTTGCCTAAATGAAGTATGTGAGATTTGAATGCCAGAGTCTAAGAAAAAAATTCCCAGAATTCTATTTCCAGATTTGAGTACTTAAAAAAAAATAACACAACAGTAAGCATTGTAACCCCTCCCTTGTAATACTTTTGTTGATTCTGGAGTTCACTTTGATTATATTGCCAAGAACTTGATCTCTTTAAACATATTAAGAATATATAAGTGGAAGGTTATTTAAATCTCAAAGTAAATAAAATCAATAAAGTGGAGTATGCTAATTAATGTAGTCATTTAAAATAGTATTTTGAGCTAAACTGTCAATTAATGCCTCATAGTATATATATATCCTCAGGATTCATTCATTCTTTCAATCCACAAGTAGTTATGGAAACCTGTGAATAATATAGACATAGGCTTTGCCCTCATGAGGCTTCTATCCTAACTTGGAAAGAGGCAGGCAACATACCATCAAACATATAAATGAATGTCACAATTCCAGATAACAATACATGCTCTGAAGAAAAGAAGGAGTGCCTGGTGCCTGTGGTGCTGGGGTTGGAGGAGGGGGTGGTGACAATTACAGTCAATGGTCAGAAATGACAAGATGGGGGTAAAGCCAGTCCCAAAGTGGGAATAGCATATGCAGAACTCATAAAGTAAGAATGAGCCAGGAATAGAAAAAAAGATTAATTTGGCTGGACTGTATTGAACAAGTAAGAGACCATTCCTGAGGGTTAGAATTGTAATCTACCTGAAATGGAAAAACACTGTAATTTTTTAATAAGAGAGGGAGGATGATTTGGTTTTGCTTTTAAAAGATCGACAAAACTTAATTACATGTAGTGAAAGAAAAAGACAACTACTGTCCTTAAAAGGTCTCATGAAGCGTGCGTGTGCACCCACACACACATATACACACACACACACACAGTGCATACTCCCAAATACATGGACGCAGATGCACACACATAGACATCCATGTACATATGAACTCATATACATACAAAAGCATACAGATATACATATATTTATGCACATGTAAGCATGTGTGCACTTTTATGCCATCACACACAGGACATTTGCAAAGACATGCACACCCATATGCATGTACACTGACATACACAGAAAGGCACACCTATACATATACACACTCATGCAAACACAGGCACACACACATAAAACATTTATTTGCGTGTATACACATATACACACATAGACGTGCACACAGAAACACACCAACATATGAAAAACAATAGGTGATGATTTAAACTACTCTTTTAAATAAAAATTAGAAAGGAAAACATGGGTTTTTCTTGAAGAATCAAAGCAAATTAAATATTTGAACAGTATGTAAATCATTAACAGATTATAATTCACCTAAATCTTTATTATTGTTAACAATTACTGATACCTACTCTGTGCCAGGCATGAGTGTTATGATGCCTATTTTGTGGATGAGTAAGTTGAAGCATGAGGACACAGCTAGCAAGTGACCAAGCCAAAATTTGAACACAGAATTTGAACTTCCTGTTCCGGTTACCTTCCAGGACCACCCAAGTAGCCAAGGAAATCCACGCTTTCTGTTCAGTCTATTGGGAGTCTCTAACTCAACTCCCTGGGTCGCTGAGCCTCTGACCATGTCATGCTGCTGAGAACAGGACAGCCTGACTGTGTACACACCAGCTTTTCAGCTAGCTGAGCCCTTGCTCTGCTGACTGGGCCTATAGGCATCAGTGACACATTTTAGAGTCCACTAATAATATCATGTACTGAGTTAACTGAATGGAAAGAAATTCAAAGGAAACCACATGGAATTATTTGGTGCGCTGTTTGCAGCAACATACCAACAAGCTCAGTTTCAAATATATTCCGTCTGCTTTTTAAAAAATAAAAAGCAGGAGGACATAAGCTTTCCAGATTTACTTGACAGTTCATGGGTAGTAGAACTCTTTTAATGAAGTATACTTTGTTAAGCTCATCTTTAAACATACACTATACTATATAGACATACATATGTTACACACAAATACACTAGACATGCACACATCATTCACACATGAACACATCCACTATATACACATACACGACTTATACATCCACATACATACACTTAAATATATTTATATTGTGTATAATACACACATACACTATATATATATATATATATATATATATACATATATATATATATATACACACACACATTTTGATGGTTAATTTCATATGTTAACTTGACTGGGCCACAGGGTGCCTACATTTGGTCAAACTTTGTTCTGGGTTTGTCTGGGAGGGTGTTTCGGGGTGAGATTAACATTTAAATCTATAGACTGGGTAAAGTAGATGGTCCTCCCAAACATAGTGGGCCACAACCAATCAGTTGAGGATTGGAATAGAGCAAAAAGGCTAAGTTTGAAGGGAGTTTGCCTGCCTGACTGCTTGACCTAAGACATCTTCTTCTGGTGTTGGAAGTTAAACCATCAGCTCTCCTGATCCTTAGGCATTTGGATTTAGATAGGAACTGCATCACTGGCTCTCCTAGGTGTCCAGCTTGCAAACTACAAATCTTGGGACTTCTCAGCTTCTGTAAAAGCATGAGCCAATTCCTTACAATAAATTTCTCTCTCTCTCTCTTTATATATATATATATATACACATACATATCCTATTATTTCAGTTTTTCTGGAAAACCCTGATCAGTACACGTACATACTCTTATACCCAAACCCTTATACATACACACTATTTATATATACACAAATACAATAATAAAAACACACACTGCTTACATATATACACTTATACACACACACACACACACACACACACAGAAATCATTTAACTCAGTAGAGAAAATCAATTTCCCATTTAATTTCTCAAAATCTACCTGATAGTAAACTTTACCCAAAAATAAAATGTAAAAGATCACTTCTGGGTATCACTTGTATAAAACTGCTTAATATGATATGTTTGGGGAAAAGACAACTGGGTTTGAATTTCAATTTACTCTCCTGAATACAAACACTCAGGATTCCAATATGCTTATGAAAGCCAAAGGGAAGGGGGGAAGCTTTAAATGTCTTACCTCTTGATACTTTTATTTGTTTCAGGATTCACTTTAACAAATCCATTGAGGTCTTGTTTGCTTTGAATAAAAAAGTGAGTTTTAATGAATGTTATTAAGTAAAACACTAGTCAAGTGAACAATGATTGGAGAAGTAATGTGAGTCAGATAAAGTTCTGTACTGGATCCAGACAGAATATAAATTTCTACTCAACAAATCAGATATAATTGCCTATTCTGTTTTTAAATCATAAGAACAATGTCAATAATAATAATAATAATCATATTTTTAAAAGAAGAATATGTCTTCATATAAAGTCAACCATTTCCTTAACCCAAGCTTTTTAAAAATATAATTAGATTATGATAAATTACAAAGAGCAAGAAAAAAATACCTTACATGGTAGGAAAATTGATTCATTTCTTGGGGGAGTCATGTCACCCTCATTAAAATGCACTGAGTAGTATTAAAGGGGATAACCTGAACCCAGAAAAGAGAATACTGTGAGGTTGGCAGAAGTACCATGACTTCATGCCCCCGCCACGTTGACAGAGCCCTGAAGGGGAGAAAAAGTGGCGGAATTTCCCCAGCCCTCCCTTGGGCTGCTTTCTGAGGCCAACATCCTTAGAGAAGCTGATTCACAAGAGTTTTAGTCAAGCTTCACTTTTGGCTATCTTTGTTATTTTATTTTTTTAAAAAACATTTTGTATTTATTTATTTGACAGAGAGAGATAGCAAAAGCAGGAACACAAGCAGGGGGAGTGGGAGAGGGAGAAGCAAGCCTCCCACAGGGCAGGGAGCCCGATGTGGGGCTCAATCCCAGGACCCTGAGGATCATTAAGGCAGACGCTTAACCACTGAGCCACCCAGGCACCCCAGTAACTTTGTTATTTTAGAGATCCACCTTGAAAATGTTGTCAAGACCATGCATTCTTTAGATACAAAGAAACTCATCTGGGATAAAAGGCAACTTACTATCAAATGCTAGGGCAGTTCTTCAAAAAATAAGTGATTTTATTAGGAATAAGAATGGAAGGTCATGTGGCCCACTGTTATTATCTATCTCCATGCTAATAAAATATGGTTATGAAGTTAAAATGCCAAATCATTTTATCTTATTGATTGTTACTTACAGAAATCAGACTTAAAGACACTAATAATTCTTACCCAGTGGTGTTTTCACTTCCTTTGGGCTTTGCTTTGATAAGATTATCAAGGTCTTCACCTCTTTAAAAAAAAGTTTAGATCTGTTCCAAAGTATTCCCACAGTATTATATATAAATAGACATTCCGTATTATTGATGATTAATTAAAAGCTTTTGGAGAAAATTATTGTACAGGAATTATATTAATTTTATTATATTTAACTATTATTTATTTATATATAATTTATTATATATATTATATATATTATATATAATTTATTATAATTAACTATGAATAACATAGTTAATCTCTGGGATTTTATATTAGCCAAATGTAAATTTATAGAATCTGTTGTAGAGCCTCCGAAGTGAAAATCAGGGTGCTAGGAATCAGACACAGAAGACAGAAGGGAAACTCAAAGATGTGATCCCCTCGATGTCACTGAGAATATCACACAGTGAAATTTGGTAGAAAAAAACCAAGATTCAGAAACATCAAAACAGTTCCCACCCTCTCCTAGTTTTATCTGCCCTGGCATTCACTTTGATAACCGTTTCGAGATCTTGGCTTCTTTGGAAAAAAAAAACATGAAAACCTTGTGTTACTTAGGTTACATTCAGTTTTCTCTGAAATTTGTATAAACAAGAATGTCCCTGAAAGAATATCAGATGTTTCCGGGCCAAATGGCCAGAAAAACTTGGATGTAATTATCCTCAACTGAGCTCTGTTAATTTCCCCAGCAGTACTTGGTTTAAATCCGTTTAGAAGAACTTCCCAACATACCTCTCACTTTGCAATTTTGTCATCTATATTTCTTAGTTTAAATATAAGACTTGGCTCATGTTTTAATTGTTTAAGAAAATACAGAATAAGAGCTTATGTAGCAGATTTCCTGCACTTACTTCAATGTAACTCAAACATGTGGTCCTATGGAAACAGCATTCATCATATTCCTTTGCTTACTCTCTGATAGGCCTATAAAGTGCAACAGTTCATCTGTGACCAAGGAAAGCATAACACTCCCATTTCTAACAAGGTGTGAAAAACTAACTTAAAAAAAGAGAGCCGCAGCAAGGTAGGACTTTTACTTACCCTTTCTCATTTTTGTCAGTCCTTTGATTAACTTTAATAAGACTTCCAAGGCCTTGGTTTCTTCATAACATTGAAGCAGGGAGGACAGCAGAGCAACAGAAAGAGAGGAGAGAGAGTAATTCAACCTCTTATGGCAACAGCAGACTTCTCAGCACAAGAGAAAGATGTTACCAGTACCTAAAGCCTCAGAAGTCTTTAAAAATGTTTAATACAAGTGACTCTTCTTATGCAAAATGCTGAAGAGATATGCCAACTATTCTAATATTAAGATCCCAGTCATTACTCCATTGTGATTAAATCACTTTAATGGAATAATTTTTAATAAAATAATAAACATTCCTGCTATTTAGAACTGAGTTGTTATGTTGACAGTTTATACAATGTTATAATCTTCAGGTTACTTTTATAACTATGCATCATAGCACCAGAGCCCAGTATCAGTATAAGGAGATCTGGATTCAAATCTTAGTTCTGATTTTAATGGGGTTTGTGACCATGTTCTTTCACTTCTCTGCACCAAGTTTCCTCACTTTAAGAGAATTAGACTATGCTATCTTAAGGTCCTTTTTTACTTTAATAATTTATCCTTCATATTCTCAAAAGACCTAATAGTCAAAGAGCCTGACCCATGGATTGAGGCCAAGTTAGTGCAAACCCTTTATTTTTTTACTTTTATTTATTTTTTTTTTTGGTAAAGATTTTATTTATTTATTTGACAGAGAAAGAGAGAGAGGCAGGCAGAGGGAGAGTGAGAAGCAGACTCCCCACTGAGCAGGGAGCATGACGTGGGGCTTGATCCCAGGACCCTGAGATCATGACCTGGGCCGAAGGCAGATGCTCAACCAACTGAGCCACCCAGGTGCCTCAACCCTTTGGAGATTTAGACATGTTATTTTTAGCAAAAAGTTCAAGGTTCTGAATTACCCTTGGAAAAGTAGAAATAACTCTACGATGGCTCCAGTTCTTTATATAAACTGACTACAAACAATAAACCTTTTCCATGCAGATAGTTTAAAGCTTTTAGGGAACATCAAAGTTAATCCCTCTAAATCCCCCGATTGTCCAGGTGTTGCCCTTTGTCATTTTCATCTGTCTCTGATTCTACTGTGATAAGACTATTAACATTTTCGTTTCTTTCAATATAAGAAAGAAGGCAGAGAGGGAGGGCTGGAAGGACAAGGCACTATGGACTGACTCAACCACACCAGTGAGTTCAGCCATTCCTGCATCAGAAAGCCAGTTGCTATCAAATTATCCCACATTACAAATCACATGTCTTTTCTCCTCCTTACCAGCCCGGAAATGGTTTACTTGAGAAGTTCATTCTAATTTTTCTATTTTTTACCACTTTGGTGGGCCCTTCCCAAAATTCATTTTTTAAATATCTGAAATCTCAACTTTTCCTACAAAGCTCATATAACCACTCACAGAGAACTGACAATTTTCCCACTTCATCTGTTCTCCATGAGAAGAAAAGCTTTTACCTGTAATAATACTTGCACATTGACATTTATAATAATATATTGTTAATAAGGATTCAGTATCTGTGAAACTATTATTGCCAATTATTTTCACATTATTATCACATAGACTTTAAGTGTTCTACATCAGAGACAGTTGAGAATGCATCTGCCAAGATTGACTTGGAAAGCTAGAATACCATTCTGGGCACAGAATGGCACAGATGAATGGCTTTAAAAGATAAGACAATAGAAATAATTATCACATTACAAAGGCAAATCTGATGACTAACCAAGTACAAGGTAAACAGCCAATCTGGGGGAAAAATAGTAGTGATCTCCGAAATCCTTACCCTTTGTCATTCTTGACCATTCTGGGATTTTCTTTCTTTTTTTTAAGATTTTATTTATTTAGTTGTCAGAGAGAGAGAGAGACAAGCAGGGGGAGTGGCAGGCAGAGGGAGAAGCAGGCTCCCTGCTGCACAAGGAGTCTGCCTCGGGGCTTGATCCCAGGATCCTGAGATCATGACCTGAGCCGAAGGCAGATGCTTAACCAACTGAGCTACCCAGGCATCCCTTTTCTGGGATTTTCTTTAATAAAACTGTCAAGAATTTGATTTCTTTCCATATAAAAAATAATATCAGTCATGTAGTCAATTTTCTAGGATTTCAGTATCAGTCTAGAACTATAAATCAACATCTTTAATGTTATCAGTTCAGTTACTAATCATTCACTAACCCTTCTTATGATATAAAATAAGTAAAGGCATTACTCTTGACCCTGAGATACTTACAAATATATGTGAGATATACATATGAAGTGACTCGACCAAGATTCTAACTGAAAAGTGCCTTAGAGCATTATAAAGACTTCAGGGGGGAGAAACTATGCTCCCAGCATCAAAATGTCTTAGAGTAAATATATTTAGTTCATAAACCAGGCTATTGTCCACTACTTGTAACAGCCAGCTAGAGTTCCTTCATATTTAAATACAAAAGGGAACCTGGAGATCATCTAGGTCATGCTCTTCATTTTATGGGATGAGGAAACAGCAGTCTGCAGAGGTTAAGTGACTTGCCCAAGGTCATCCAGGTTGATGTGGGTGGCAGAGCCAGCACCAAGATATCCACTTATTTCCTGACCTCCACCCCAACCCCCCATCCAAGGCTTATTCCACCAGCCTGCCTGCCCCTTGTCCTGAGCAGGAGGTCACACACTGGAAATGGCATATAGTCTAGGACTCAATCAAAGAGGACTGTAATAGTCAAATCTTACCCTTTGCCGTCTTTGTCTGTCCGAGTATTCATAAAAATGAGATTTTCAAGGCTTTTGGCTCTGTAAACACAAATTCAAATAAAAGGCTACATATTGAAATAAAATTGTGTGGTATCTTGAGAGGTCAGATATAATAAACATTCTTCATGAATTGCTCATTTAGTCTTATTGAATGGAAGAGCAGAAATCCTTCCGGGCAATTATATCTGAGCTAAATGTACAATTCTGAGAGCACTTCTCCATCTGCTAGTACATTTCCATGCCAGAGGATACAACCCCCTTCCAGCGAACGTCTGAAAGAATAAAGCAAGCAATCTGGGAGATCAGATTTTCAGGTTAGGGACAGATGCACTTACCTTTTCTCTGTTTGCTCTGCCTTAGGATTTGCTCTGAAGAGACCATCAAGACCTTGATTTCTTTAAATGCATTGAACAAAAAAACCTCATCAGTGGTAATAATACATACTTAACTCTATAGAAATATAGACCAGTTTATATTTCTATAGATAGACAGGAAATAGAAACTGGGTGGAAAAGATGAACGACAATTCTTGAAATTGCTTTATTCCAAATAGGTATTTTCATAAACTCAAAATTTAAATTGCAGTTGACCTCAGAGAAAATAAGATAGAAAATACAAACTGGGGATCTACACACAACCAATAAGTCCATGATGCATTGTATGGATTTCACAGAGTGTTTTGTTTTTAATGTGAGCCAATGTTGACCTTCTGTCTTTATAGATGAAGAAACTGAAAAGCAGTACATTTAAATGAGTTGTTGATAGTCAATCATATGATCACTTTGTCAGAACGGGGTATGAACACCATACTTCTGGATGCTCAGAGCAATGAGCTCATTTGATATTTGCCTTGTTTCTCTGTCTCTCTGGTCCCTACACATTTATTATGTTAGCAGGCAAAGTAACAGAGAGATAGCAAAAACCGCACACACTTCCAACACAGACCTCAATTACTATAATCTTTAAATTGTGCAATTATAAATGATTCAGAATTAAGGAGGTAAGGTTAACTAAGATAGTAAGCAGCTTTTGTAAAGTGTAAAACTGAAAGCATTCAGTGACCAAACAACTCTGTCCACATACTAATATGTTAATATTTCAGGAAGAGAACTGTGGTTATTTATATAACTGCCTTACTAAATAGAGTGTGAAAATCAAAGATACTTTAATATTAGTATCTTTAGGTTGTAATAACCATTTATAGCACTGATGAAATGATGATGACTCCTGCAAGCTTTTTATTCAAGACCTGTAAGCTATTTTTAACTCACCCAGTATGTGGGTCCTCATGCTCAAATACTAAAAAGACGTAAGAAGTCACAATGTGCAACTCAATAATAAAGCAAAAAAATGGATGTTTTCAAATCTTACCTATTCAAGCTTTTGTTCATTTTGATGAGATTATCCAATTCTTCACTTTGGGAAGAAAAAAACAAACAAAAAAAATCTCACATCATTAAAAGCCTGCCCCGAGTCAAAGGGCAGGTCCACCTTAAACCATTGTTTCTGAGTTCCCTGGAATATAACACATGCCACCAAAATCTTGCTTATCCTTCAAGGCTCTCTTCAAAAGCCTCTTTCTCCAACACATAGTTCCCAGTCTTTCAACGGAATAGAGTCCTCTACATTTTTGGAAACATTTCTGCATTTTGTTTTTTTCCATCTCCTTTATGGCACTAACACTACTATATTCTGTAATATAGCAACTACATACTTGTCTCATGTTAATGTCCCTACTCCTACATCTCTCTCTTTCACACACACACACACACACACACACACACACACACACACACACCACTTAAAATTTAGAACTGTGTTTTACATTGGATCCTCTTCAGTCTTTAATACCGTAATCTTTAAACAGTAAATATTTAATATAGGTTTTTAATTGAATCAACAAATATAGGTACATTGACTAATTGTAGATTCTATCTTTATGCAATGTACCTGCACAAAGTAGCTATAGGAAAACACCTGTTCATCAGTAAGTCTGGCTGCTTTCTTAAATTGTGATCCTACCTCATTCTAACTACGTTAAATTTGTGATCTTGTGTCTGTATTTGAGAACTGCAACTTTCTGGCTGCTTCCCATGGAGCAACCTGTTTAGGCTAAACCCCTGGGTTCCAGAATATCCCTTAGTGTCACCGGAGTGTGGGTCTCTTCCCCAAAAAGGCAGCCTCAGTGGGTTTGTGGTTCCTGTTTGCTCCTCACAGCATTGTCTCTCTTCAACATTTCTGCCATCCCTTTGCTCCCATTTCTCTTGCCTTCCTAGTTCAGTTTTCAGATCACCAATCATGGTTTTCCCTTCTTCCTGCTCTAGAATCACACATTTTCCACACCGTCTCAATGTTTCTCTTTCTTTTGCATCATCCCTGGAACTGACCAGGAGGCCAGGAGGCCATGTCGCTCAGTAGTTACGTATTCAGTGTCTCAGGTCAGGGATACACGGATCCCAACCCAGGAGTCACCATTTATTATCTGGTGACTCTGGGTGAGTTACTGAACCTCTTGCCGCCTCAACTTTTCCATCTGTCCAACAAGAATACTAATTGTACCCATCTGAGAAAAGAATCAATAAGCTAGTGAGTATAAAGTGTGTAGCATTATGTCTGGCAAGTCATAAACTCTCAATTAATTTTGCCCATTATAGGAAACAGTTCCCAGTCTACTAAAACTTTCATTTCATAAATGCTTGCTATGCTTATTTTTAAAATGCTTTTAGAGACATCAAGACTTTGGCTCCAGCTAGACAGGTATAGTTGCTGAGTCATTTATGTGCTTTGAAGATGCCTGGCACAATGCACTGCCATAATAGCTTAGAGACCCAAAAACATGTTAAATTAACAGCCATCATAGAGATGAATCCTTTCAAGTAATGTTACATATTCAGTGGTAGGATAAATACTGAAATATAAATGTTGCTGACCCTGACAAAAAATTGATTAACCTACTACCTAGTCCCTTGACACAATGCCCCATTGTTTCTTGCTTGAAATTCCACTGTCCTGCTCTGAGATTATGAATCTGTCTGTGTCTCCAAGGAAAAGAGCAAACCTAAGAATCCTGTAAAATTGTAGTCCCAGGTCTTTCTGATTAGTGTGAGTCACAGTGATGTGATGATCAGGATTTGGGGTTGCTCATGTTTATCACAAACAAATGAGCATAAATCATGAGAAGACACTCTGTGGTAAATTAAATAAAATGGAAACAATATTCTGACTAAAGAAGTTGGACTTTTAAAATGACCTTACATTGAGGAAAGCTTTGGATATTAAATTTCACCATTGCATGTGCAGTAAATTAAATGTTCTTAATCAGGTAAGAGTCCACTTCACACTGGAATATCACCAAGAGCAGCTCAGGTGAAAAAAACTATTTCTAGTTCCCACACAAGGCCCACAGTAATGGTAGTTGGGTATGTAGATCCAACAGACATTTCCCCCGGCCACAGCCAGAGCAGTAACTTTTCCCTGTGAAGAACACATCTTGTTGTGGAATTTGTGCATCATGCCTACAGAGAGGGGACAGGAGTAACTGTAGTTCTCATTGTTTTTGTTGGATTTGTGCCAAACCATAATTTCCCATCAGCATCACTCACCCGTCTCTCCTTCAAACACCTCCATCACTCACCAAAAAACTGTTCAATCCCTCTTAAAAACAAAATATTAGGGGCGCCTGGGAGGCTCACTCCTTAAGCGTCTGCCTTCGGCTCAGGTCATGATCCCAGGGTCCTGGGATCGAGCCCCACATCGGGCTCCCTGCTCCAAGGGAAGCCTGCTTCTCCCTCTCCCGCTCCCCCTGCTTGTGTTCCCTCTCTCACTATGTCTTTCTTTGTCAAATAAATAAATAAAATCTTAAAAACAAAAACAAAAACAAAAACAAAATATTACCTCAAAAAAAGTAAATAGATAAAATTAGAGATCCAGGCACTTAGACAAGAGAAATGGAAATGAAACATTCAGGCTACTTTCTGGAGTCCCCGTCTAGATTCAGAGCTCCAATCAGTTTCGTTTGTACAAAAGAGCTACCTATTGCTTCTGTTTCTTCTCTTCAGTTCTTTTGATTGAGACTGCAATCCCTAATCACACTTAGCATTGCTGAATTCCACTGAGCAGGACTATTTTTGTAGGAATTGGATTTAAACTATGGAATGTTTATACTCCAGGTTTCCCGCTGTTCATCATTCTTTACCATAATCTGTTACATAAGCACCTACTTTGCACAAAGCATCATGTCAGACTCTGCAAATGACTTATGGTCAATAGGACAAAATATTTGCTCTAAGAGATTAAAGAGATGATAGAGAAAATGAGGTATTTACATAGATACCATGAAATAAAAAATATGATTCATTGTTATAACACATGAATAGTGAGGCTCTAAGAGCTTAGAGAAAAGAAGTCACATCTCACTGAATCATTCTGGGAAGACTTCACAGAGGAGGTGATATCTGATCTAGATCTTGAAAAAATAGGTAGGACTTGAATGAACTGATACGGTGGCCTTGAAGCTAGGAAAGGCTGCCATATGGGTGGCATGGCATAAACAAAGGCAAAGTGTCTGGAAACTATAGGAAGAAAGTGGTTTAATTTGGTATTGCATGTAGGGTAAATGTAAGGGTGAAGTCAGAAATAACTCTGGAATGTTAGGTTGGAGCCAAGTTAACAAAGGTTAAATGTAATTGAACGGGCAATGGGGAGCCAGTGAAGCAGTTGTTCAAGGAGAATTTTAGGAAGAAAGCTCTGGTAGTGATGGGTAGTAATGGTTTAGGGGAGGAGGGACTGAGGGAATGTAAGTAAATCTGGATAGCTACTCTAATAACCTATGATGGAGCCGATGAGAGTTTGAACTGGGGTGAGGCCGTGTGGGCAAGAGGAGAATTTTAGACATTTTATGTATATATGCCCGATACTACATTGAGGGGAAAGACATGGAAGAATCAAGAATGATTCCAGAAAGGTGAGCTTGGCTGAAGGAAAGAACAGAAAGAAGTGAGGAAATAGCGCATTTGGGAAGAAAAGTAAATATGGCTGAGGACATCCTAAATGAGGGTTCTGGGAAGACAGGTAAGTTGAGATCTGAGCCAGCAACATAAATACAGGACAAGAACTTGGAACAAAGTCAAAACCACAGAAAGCTGAGGTGACAAAGATGAGTACAATCACTAAAAGACAAAGCAGAGGAAGAAGAGTATGGGTAAATGTCAGTCTCACCCATTTTTCAGGAACACTTATCTAGAGAGATTGATTCTTTCTTCTTTTAAATTATATATAGTAAACAGCATTGGGATTTTGTTTATATCTGGAACTTTTAAAAGTACTGGTTAAGCTTTTGTGAAACATAAAGAAAGGAAAAACGCAAGCTCAAAAGCTCTTACCCCTTGTTAGTTTTCTGAAGTGAAGTGGCCACTTTGACAATGTTCTCGAGATCCTGACTCCTTCAAAGGATGAAAAAGAAACACAAGTCAATGACAGCAGAGCTATCTTTGAAGTAGCTAGAAATTCTTATGTTTTCAGTAAAGAAAATAATAGTCCATGTGTTCAGGAATTATTGAGTTTAGCTGCATAAGGAAATAGTTCTATCGTATCAGCTCATGGGGTGTGTAGGTGGGAGTGTGTGTGCATGTGTGTGCATGCGTGCACACACACACACACACACACACACACCAGTCATTTCACTGGGTATTGGCTCTGCCATCTAGTGCTCACTAAAATAATACAGTTTCTCCTAAACACACTGGCTTCTCCCTAGTTCTATACTTAAAGGATATGGAAAAGAAAGTAGAGTTAACTACACAAGTAAACACAGACATGTGTTCAGAGGTTTTTTGACCAGAGCCAAAGAGCATTAAGCAACATGTCCAGATGATTAATTCATCCCTCACATGTGGTGAAAGTATTTGTCTTCTTAGGCTTCCAAAGGGAAAGAAAGTACATTTTAAACTCCAGGGTAGGTGGAAGCACCTGACTCAGAGGGTTGAATCCACACTAATCCCCCTAGATCATGGAAAGGAATAATTGGGAAAATCCTTATTGGTGTCCCTGTAATCAAGACCTGTGTTTCACAAACAATGTTTCATAGAAGGTTAATAGGGTTCCATGAAGAAAGAATTTTGCAGTCAAGTAAATTTGGGAAATAAAACCAACTTTTGGAGATTCTGAATGTATATAAGCACATTGAAGGTTCTGAGAAGTCCTGTGGCAGAGAACTCTATTTTATTGTGTCTCCTAAATGGGTTGGCCATCAAACTCTTCTTTCACAGAACATGCATTGAAATCTGTGGCACATGGGACGCAGCTTGGGAAATGCTGAGATACGGTGGCACTTGAAGTTACTAAGTACAAGGGAAAGATAATTCTCCCCAAAGTAAGATATCCATGTGATGTATGTTTCAAACTCAGACTTTTCTGAGAGTCAAGGGAAAACCCAAAAAGTTTGTAAGTTTTGAACTTTAAAAAATCGGTTGGTCAAAATAGATAAGATGGTAAATTTAATGTTATGTTTTTACCATAATAATTAAAAACTGGTTTATCATATTGATAAACCTATAGGATATCATCATTTAAAACTAATTTCAAAGATAGGGGATTTTTTCTAAAAAATAATAAAACCAAGATATAACCAAAATACATACTAAACCAGATGGGATGAGCAAGACAACAGGCATAAATCAGGACCGTTATGGGGAAACCTTACCCAAAGATCAATAGTATTTGTGAGCCTTTTTCTGATGATGTGGTTGGAGCTGGATATGGCCTTATTATGCAGCCAATTCTAGCAAAGCTTTTGCAGAACAAGTTCAATAAAATGACTATATTTACGCCTATTTATTTAAACATCAACACAACTCTGTCACAGACCTTGGGACAAGTGCTGGGAATAAAGAGGTATTTTCCTTTCTTAAGGGGTTTATTTTATTCTGTTATCATGTTCAGACAATTTTGGTTGTTTCTTAATGTAAAGCTAAGAATAGAAATAAAAGGAATAAAATTCTGTAGGTACATATAAAAATATTAATTACCCACTATATTGAAGCCAGCTGGAGAACTGATTTTGTCTATTTTATTATTAACTGTCTTGTATTTTTAAGTATTCTAGTAAGGCAAACATTATTATTTCTACAATTACATAGATATAAATAGAGATCATTGTACCTTATATTTCTTTCAGCAGATCTGTTGGTTTCTGTATATACACATGGTTTAGGTGGACATATCTGCCTATATTTTCAAAGTTAAAGATAATGTCTGTTAGGTAAGAAAACAATTCTCTGTTAAATATAAATTTTTAAGGAAACATTCATGTTCAAAAGGATCACAGTGTGTTGGATCAATGCACTACTTGAGATAACAAACTTTACTTTAGCTCTTTTGGTTGGCTAGAACGCGACCATTTCTTTTTATTTATTTTTTTAAAAGATTTTATTTATTTGACAGAGAGAGGTGGTGAGAGCAGGAACAGAAGCAGGGGGAGTGGGAGAGAGAGAAACAGGCTTCTGGAGGAGCAGGGAGCCTGATGCGGGGCTCGATACTAGGATCCTGGGATCATGACCCCAGCCGAAGGCAGATGCTCAACAACTGAGCCACCCAGGCGCCCCTCAACCATTTCTTATTTGAAAATCTGGAGTCCAATGTAATAATTTTGCAATTTGGCCAATCTCTTTAAATATATTTTTAACTACTAAATATATCTAGAAATATCTGTCCCAAATGTGTTTATGTTCATTTTATTTTAGTCTCCAGTCATCAATAAAGCATTTCCATACTTATCTCTTAAGACTCTTTTTTTGTTATTAGGCATCAAATGGATGATTTTATTTTTCTTAAAGACTTATCTCATTTGAATACAATCCAGAAATATATTTACTCAGATAAGATGGGAAATATTTTAAATTTCCAACACACCCACCACATTGAGAATGACCACACTGAGTTGACAGAACAAGTTTATGATGTTAGATTCTGTCACAATTTATGGTATGAGGTTTTTCTCTGTTATTTTCCTAAGTATCTGACTGACCTATTTATATATTCTTGCTTGTTCTCAAAAAACTATATTCAACTATTTTTTGTCCTCCTGAGGACATGTGTTAATTACATAGGAAACACTTCCCTTTCATATTCTTTCATTAAAATCATCTTGCTGTGATTAAAGTAATCAGTGTTTAAAACATGCAAGTTGTTCTAATTTTATTTTTAAGATCACTGGTAGAAGAAAGAAATTAAAGTAGTAAAAACGGATTAAACCAATTCCCGTGAAATTTAGCTTTTTTTTTTTTGACTCTACACAAGCTCACGGCTCTAGGGTCACTGATTTTAGACTAGAATTTAGATAATACTAAAGCCAGTTTTTTAAGCCCCCTAAAAATTCCTATTCAAATTAAGGTTTAATTGCTCAATACAATAAAAGGAAAAATAATGTAAGATAGAAAGCTTAAATTATTTTAAGACTGTAATTATAACCTTTGCACAAATAAAAAGTTATAACTTTGGTCTATATTTTTCATTAATTCAGGGAAGAAGTATATTCTTGGCTCATTAAAGGGAAAAAAATATCTTCTCATCTTAAGGACAAAATTTCAAAGATCCTGCAAAGTTTCATTGAATAGAAATTCAGACCTCGGTTTTTAACTTAATAGGTTGAGTACCTAATGCTTCATAGTCCTGCTGCCCAGTCAGCATTTTCTAGCTGAAGTTACCCTGTTCCTGAAGAATATTTCTAGAGTTTTCTTTCATGTTGTCAACAAAAATCACCATCAAAATACAAAAATACAAAAGAATCAAAGGCAGGTTATCAAGTGGATCTAATGTATTCAGTCTTTAATGAGATATCATTTTTTAAATCTCATAATAATAATGGAAATGTGCAATGTACGTCTCAAAAAACAGCTCGAGATTATTAAACAGTTTAACAGAAACACATGGAAAATTTTTCAGATCTTTGAATTTGTTTCTAAGTATTAATTATAGAGTATCAGAGATTCAAAATGAAAAAGCAAGTCTCTTTTTTTTCTTGATTCAGAGACAAATTAATTAGAACATTTTTTAATTGTAATAGTTTTGAAATAAATTGCAAACTCCTTAGCTAAAACAAGACTAAAGAGCTACCCAAAAGTATTTCTAACATAAGGAGAGTTTGAGCAGTAACACAAAGTTTTAAGACTATTTTTCATCAGAAAGTGTAGCTTTTAATGGGAAACTTAACTAGGAGTAAATATACACCAAATGTGTGTGTGTATTTATACATATATGTGTGTGTGTGTGTGTACACACACGTATATAGTTTCTATCTAGATTACATATGTCAAATACTATATATGTATACATATATATTTATGTATTTATATACACAGGGACAGAAAGAAAGAGATTCCTTATATAATGCTCATACATAAATTAGAAGAAACCAGAGGGTGAATATTTCCTGGACATGAAATACATAAATTAGAAGAAACCAGAGGGTGAATATTTCCTGGACATGAAATACATAAATTAGAAGAAACCAGAGGGTGAATA